ACCCTCACAGAGCAGGTACTATTTGGGTGCTGGATCATTCTCAGCACTGCAGTAACACTGACGTGGTGGTGGTGTGTTAGTGTGTGTTGCGCTGGTCTGAGTGCATCAGACACAGCAGTGCTGCTGGAGTTTTTAAACACCTCAGTGTCACTGCTGGACTGAGAATAGTCCACCAACCAAAAATATCCAGCCAACAGCGTCCTGTGGGCAGCGTCCTGTGGGCAGTGTCCTGTGGGTAGCGCCCTGTGGGTAGCGTCCTGTGATCACTGATAAAGGACTAGAGGATGACCAACACAAACTGTGCAGAAGCAGATGAGCTATCGGCTCTGACTTTATATCTGCAAGGTGGACTGACAAGGTAGGAGTGTGTAATAGAGTGGACAGTGAGTGGACACAGTGTTTAAAAACTCCAGCAGCACTGCTGTGTCTGATCCACTTGTACCAGCACAACACCACCACCACGTCAGTGTTACTGCACTGCTGAGAATGATCCACCACCCAAATAGTACCTGCTCTGTGAAAGAAATGGAGGGAAAAGGTTTTCTCCATGCTATCATTCCATACATACTATTCCTGTTCAGTGTTTCCCCGATTGTGAAGTCCAAACTTTTCAAAAATAGCTTTGGAACCTCTTCTGACCTAATAAACACTGGCAAATAATGCTCTGAGGCCCTCAGAAATCTCAATTGATTGAAAAATGTGTGTGGTAAAGACCAGACTTTGATGGTGAAGACTCAGCGTGATGTTTCTTAAATAGGGTGGGGTCAGCCACACTCCCACCTGATTGTCATCCCACTGATTGAAACAGTGAGCCAACATAACAAACTCATCATTTTAGAGGTTCACATACGTTTGCCAACAGAGACATTTAATGTTGGGTCACTTTTTTAAAAAATAAATGGTTGAAAAACTATATTTGTGTTACTTGTTTATTTGAGTTCTCGTTATCTAGTGCTATGACAATTTAAGATCTGATCATATTTACTAATAAATTCATGTAGAAATTTACAAAATGATAAAGTGTTCACAAACTTTAAAGTAGCGCTATTACAACTTTAAGCCCCTGTTTTAGTAAAACCGGGTTCTTAAGTACCACATACTTAAAATGAGCTGAAGTCTGACCCCACCTGTCAGTAATACATTCCACTGTCCACTGCATTAATAAAGAATTCAGTCATGTTTGCTTGTAAGCGTGCATATATCAATGACTCTGAACATGGCTCAGCTGGTCAGATTTCAGTACTGAAACCATCTGATTTATAATTGACATTTTGACAGGTCAGCTCCCAGTTATTGATTAACTGTTGACTAAAGATGGTCAGTTACCTGTTGAAAGAATGTGCCAAAATATGCATCCCTAATAGAAGCCCATGGGTTTGTACCAGGAAATGGGTTGGAACGATTGTGGTAATTGACACTACAGATGCAGCAGATAGACATCAGGTTAAAACACTGCGAGTATCCCTTATGTGGAAGCTAATACAAAATTTCATTTTGCTTTTGATTAAATAATGCGCTTAATTTGACAAATGACCCACTATCTAAGCCTCTGAAACTAAACATTTGCAAACCTAATTTACACAAATTTAATAAGTGCAAATGTGTAGAAATAGTCCAAGTACAACAGCAACACACAAGAAAGAAAACACAATCATTAGACTTAAGTAAATATCACTTTAATTGTGTACAAAACGTTTTAGATCAATTTCAGTATAAAAATGTCAACGTTCTATAATGGAAGCCTAAATGGTGCAGCATATTAGATTGATGTCCATTCAGAGCCACTGAGTACGTTTACACACGCTTAATAATCCGATGAAACGGATTTCTGCAGTTATCAGATCAAAAGTGCATATGAACGCACTCACTGATAAAGAGTTTGATTTAAAATAAATGAAATTATAGGACTTGTATGAAGGATTATTTAAAATGATACAATCCTGTATCACATTTAGATATGCATTTCTTACAAACTCCAGCCTTCAGACTGAAAACAATGCTGCGTCGTCTCGAGCACTGTCTCAGTTCGGAAGTTTGGCGCCCTCCGGTGTGTCAAGAAGGAACAGCTGTCTATTTCACTTTGAGCACTTAGAGGAATTCCCAGATTTTTGAAATATGCAAAACAAAGTCATCCAGAGTGGTCTGGTGTGAAATGCTCTGTTCTCGAGAAACCTACCTAATCAGAACTGTTCACAGTGGTGGTGATAGGAACATGACGTCTGAAGAGTTTAATGCCTCGAAAAGCTCCCTCACAGAAAGTTATTACATGAAATGGCAGCCTAATGCCTGAGACATTGTTTTACGAGTCTTTAGTCAAAGGTTTTGGCTTAAAATGTTTTTTTTTTTAATCTATTCATAGTGGAGAGGTACGTCATCAATATTACACATAAAACACAAAGAAGGCACTTGTAGGTTCATTAGTGGTTTTAGACAATAAATAAAATGGATGGGTGTTGTAGACATCATGACCACTGTAGAGAGTCAGTCTGAAGGTTTCTCTAAAATAAACCATTTCACACCAAACCACTCTGAATGACCGTGTACACCTCAACCACTGAATTCTGTAGAAACTGTGAAGAATCACATGGAATTCCCCTTTAACATAGTAAGTTCGCAAATGTTAAGTACATTGCATTTGGCTATTGCGTACAAATCACCGTATACTGATCAAGTAAATCAAGTAGGCTTAAAGCGTATCAAATAAAAACAGCACAAGCTTTACAGACAATTTGCAAATGCACAAAACACAAGTACCTTCACACGGCCACGTAAAACTGTTCTCCAAAACACACTCACACTTATTCACACACATACACCAACATAAAAACAACCCACCCCCAGAGTTACAGTACAACAACGCACAAATGATCTAGTTTAGTGTCAAACTACTTTTGCTTAACTGTTCGTTATGACGAAGGTGTGCAAACATACAGTATGTTCTTTGGTTTATACGAATACTAAAATTATACTGCCGAAGGAGCCACTAATCCAACACTGCTGAGTCATATTACTCCTCTCTTCTATAAAGCTCGTACTCACTTTTAATGACTTTATATAAGTGAAGGTGACGTAAATCCACACTAAACTGTCTGGGCGAAATGAAAACACCTGGAAAAGCTGCTGCTTGGCACAAAGTGTGGTTCAGCAGAGGCAACAAGAGCAGAAAGATGTGTGACAACTGCGTGTGGATATATAAACACATACACACACAGTACTGTGCAAAACTCACCTGAAGAAACTGCACAAAAGCATTTACCTTTGCAGTAATATGACCATGAATTTCTTGTTTTCAAAAAGGAGATTCCTGTTTGATGCCCCCAGCTATCGCAAGGTGTTAAACTCCATCACCAGCTCATCTAATTTAGTGACACTGATTTAAAATCACTACTTACTCTAATATTTGTATTTATTCTGGTAATATTGTTTTTTTTCCCAGAGTGAATAAACGCACTCTGCCCCGATAAACAACTTCTTCCAGGTGCTTAAAACTTTTGCACAGTACTGAACGTCTCGTCGCTGAGAAAACAAGCAACTCCAAAATGGTATGTTTACAGGAGAGCGCAAAAACATTTTCTAGCCTCATTGCTCAAATCTGATTTTTGCTCAGATCCGATCTCTCTGACATTATGGTTCACACTTGTTTAGATAAGTGATTCAAATCTACCATTAATGTGAACAAACCAGTGTCCTGAAATGACCCGCATGCAGAACTTTTCCACCGTTTACAGGCTTTAACCTCTGTTCGACACTGCTGCCATGGTAACGCTGAATGACGGTGTACACACAGTAGGAAAAAGCACATGAATTCCGATCTGAGCGTCTCATGAAGGTCGCATGGCCACGAATCGGATACATATCCGATCTAGGATCACATATGAAAGTGGCTCAGGTTGATTTGAAAGAATCAAATTTGTGTGTCCACATAGCTCTGAAAACATCGGATCTGAGTCACATTAGGGCAAAAAATCAGATTTGTACCACTTCAACTTGGTAATGTGAACGTAGCCTTGTAGGGTTTCTATTGGTCCATTCATCATGAACAAAGGGCAGCTGCTGTGCTACATTAAAACAAAACTGTTTTTTGGACAGCGACAAGACCTGAAACTTTCACTTGTACATTTATACATACATGACTGCTACATACTGTGACGGCGATATGGCTGTGATGTAGCTTCTGAATTAATAATGTGACATGGTTAAAGACTGGCCTGTATTATTTTACCCAAAATAGTTTACTTTTGTTGGATTACTTTTATTCATCAAAACATCTGACCAAGATGGTTTTTGCACATATTGCAGCCTGCATTTGCACTGCAGAGGCCAATATCATATATAAATGATAAAAATATACTGTATATACTGTTGCCTTCTGACACTGTATGACACTTATCAATAAAGGTAAACTACATTTAGCATCAGTTATATTTGAGGTGAGGGGAGAATTCAATACATTTCATGTTGTTTCACTAAACAGTTGCTTTAAAGCAGGAAAACACAAAACTGCAGTGCTGGATTTCACCTGGACTGGAGCTGGAAGGCCTGTCAGAGGCCAGCTTCACATATTCAGAACTGAAGAGGTTTATCTTGTTCCAATAGGCCAGGGCTGGTTAAGTGAGGAGGCTATTTAGTTTAGAAAAGAAAAAAAAAATCACTGACAGATGATAGGGGCAAGAACTTTTTCCTCTTCACTTCTTACGTGATTTACACAGAACACCCGCCTAATAAAGCAGCTTTATCAGTCCAACCATATCAAAGCAGCCAGATACTGTGTACAGTCTATATACACATACGTGGTATACACGTACAGTAATCTATGTCCCTCCCTCCATCCTCTACTCTCTACGGCAGTCTTTCTGGATAGAAATCAGAGATGCAAGATATCAGAATAACAGCTGTATTGGCAGACATTTGCATTTAAAGAGTATATATATATATATATATATATATATATATATATATATATATATATACACATATATATATATATATATATATATATATATATATATATCAGTATCAGAGAGATGTTTAAATTTGACTGATATTTTGTTTACGTATCAGCAGACGTGTACAGAAAAAGCATAGAAATAGACCTAAGAGAAACGTTTGAAATGCTGACTCAGAAATGATCGAAGCCCTCATACCTGCATAAAATTAAAAAGAGGATAAAACGTGGTTGATTAAAAAAAAGTGCAGATGAGGAAAGGAAACCGTTAAGATTAGACTCTGTGCTCCCTCACGAAGAGAATCACTTCCCATGTACGCACCCGCTACTATGACTAAGAGCATTCATTCATGCACGCACACACTTTTGTTCACTTGCACTGGGCACATACGATGCCACCATAAGCAGTTCTGGACACTGAATCTCTCACATTCTCACACACACACACACACACACACACACACACACACACAGTGCAGACATGTAAGGCACCAGACAGGAGGGTGGGGCTTCAGTCTCCATGGCGACAGTGTGGACACGCAGTCAGAGGATGGTGCAGGGACAGCCGCGATTCTGCTGCTTCCTACCGTGATTCAGAAGCACAGGAGGACTTTCTGTCTCCTGAAACTTTCTGTATGTGTGAGAGAGAGAGAGAGAGAGCGAGAGCGAGAGCGAGAGAGCGAGAGCGCGAGCGCGAGAGAGTGTGAGAGAGAAAATAAAGAAAAAGTGATAGACCAAGAAAAGGAAAGATAGAAAGAGACCAAAAGAAATAATTGAAAAGCAAGACAGACAGGAAGAATGAGGAAAAAAAGTAAGACAAAGTGAAGGAACACAAAGAAAAAGTGAGAGAAAGTAAAAGAGAAAATTAAAAAAGAATAAAACAGAAGAAAGAAAAAAGGGAAAATAAAGAAAATGTAAGACAGAGAGAGAGAACAAAAAACAAAAAGAAACAATGAAAGAAAGAAAAAGAGAAAATTAAAAAAGTGAGACAATGCAAAAGAAAACAAAAAAATAACAGATAGGTAGAAAAATGCAAGAGAGAACAAAAACAAAACAAAAAAAACAAAGAAAAACAGTGAAAGACAAAGAAGTGAAAAAATGGTGAAAAAAATGACAATGCAAAGAGAACAAATAAGTAAAAAGATGCAAAGGAAGAAAGAAAAAAGAGAAAAAAGAAGAAAAAGAAAGAGACAAAGTCAAAGAAAGAAAGAAAGAAAGAAAGAAAGAAAGAAAAAGATTCAAAGAAAGAAAGAAAGAAAGAAAGAATCCCTTTAGTAAAATCTTCTATTTTTTAAATTAAAATGTGACTGGGGTGATGCCCCACCAATTTTTAATTCATAAAAAAATTAAACTAAATAAAAAAACCTTCACTCTTCCATTAAGACTTAAACACAGACAGTCAAACTTAACAGGAGAACAAATTAAAATCTCCATTTCAATTTCCCAAAAAGAGAAACCTGCACAACTTCATGTTTAACAACTCACTACTGCTAAACATCTTCACTGCGTTTCACAAACTAATGTTTATGAACTCAGGCATAAGACATCTTAGCTAGTGTAGCCCAGTGAACCTCATAGGGTCAAATCAGTGATACAGACACTGTTTGATGTGATGTTATTACATTACAGCTCTGAGCCTGAAATTTACCTTATTGCTCGCACCACCTCCAGGAAAGCTTCGTCCACATTGTGGCGGTTCTTAGCTGACGACTCCATATAGTGGATCCGGTTTTCTCTGGCAAACACCATGGCCTCTTCTTTTGAGATCTGGAAACAACATACCAGCCTCAGAAACAAAGACTACGTTCACATTACCAGGCTATAGTGGCACAAATCCGATTTTCTGCCCTAATGTGACTCAGATCTGATGTTTTCAGAGCAGTGTGGATACGCAAATCTGATCTTTTCAAATCTGACCTGAGCCACTTTCATATGAGGTCCTAGATCGGATACATATCCGATTCATGGCCATGCGACCTTAATGTGAGGCTCAGATCGGAATTCATGGGCTTTTTTCCCCCCACTGCGCGACACCATTCAGCGTTACCATGGCAGCAGCGCCAAACAGAAGTTAAAGCCTGTAAACGGTGGAAAAGCAGCTCATCTCACCTTTTTCTCCTTCGTCTCGCTCTAATAATGAAGCTGAGAGCTGATCAGAGTTAATTATCTTCTCAGCGAAGCTCGTTCTGCTTGTTAGTTTGTTGCTGATGATGCACGTGATTCATTCACGTGATGTTACTGAGTAGGATGAGCTCATGTGGGTCATTTCAGGACGCCGGTTCGTTCACATTAATGACATTAATGATTTGAATCACTTAACTAAACGAGTGTGAACCATCGTGTCAGAGAGATCAGATTTGAGCAAAAAGTCGGATTTGAGCCATGAGGCTTGTAATGTGAACGCAGCTAAAAACTCACCCACTTCAGGGCCCAGCATGCCAACACGAGCAAATAATTTACAGATTAAACTCAAATCAGATGCACTTCTTCCAACACCATAGTAACAGAACAACTCTCCATGACATCATCCACGTTAATAACAGCCTGGTGTCTGTGTTATGGGTATTTACCACTCTCTGCTGGTCCAGATCCGACTTGTTGCCAACGAGGACCATGGGAAAGTCGTCTCGGTCCTTCACTCGCAGAATCTGAGTGTGAAACTTCTGAATTTCATTGTAACTGAAAAAGAGGATTCAAACACAGAGTTTTACAATTCACAGAAAGTTTTCTCACTGTTTAATGCTTGAACTCATGAAGCCCACTAGAGGTTCCAGATCACTTTGTATAACTTGAATTCGCCAGTGTTTTTCTACCTGCAACACCTGTAACATCTGGACTGATCGTCAAAGACAAATTTTTATATATCTGTCTCATCCTAAGACCAGTGCAGTGTACCGGTGTGAACTTATTTACTATCTCATCAGATATATTAAATGTTTATTTGTGGAATTTAAAACCACTAATATTGGCAACTGGCTTTGGAATAAAAATAAATAAAAAAAAAAAGGTTGTGGAGGAAACATTGCAGAACCATGTAAATGGAAGAGAACAGTTTAGAACAGGGTGAATGAGAAAGTACTTTCCAGAACAGTGTAAACAGCACAGTGTAAAAAGGGGAGGACATTCTCGAACGGCATGACTAACACAATGTGAGGTGGGGATAACCTTTTAGAACAGTGTGAAAAGGGAGGGTTACTGTAGAACAGTGTGACTGAGGCCAAACACTCTCAGACAGTGTGAATGGGGAGAACATTCTAGAAAAGTGCGAAAGGAGGGGAACATTCTAAAACAGCATGACTAGCAAAAAGTGAAGTGAGGATAACATTCTAGAACAGTGTGAACAGGGCCAAACACTCTTGGACAGTGTGAATGAGGAGAACATTCTAGAACAGGGTAAATAAAGCCAAACATTCTGGAGGGTGTGAACAAAGAGAACATTCTAGAACAGCATGACTATCATATTGTGAAGTGGGAATGACATTCTAGAACCATGTAAATGGGAAGAACATTCTAGAACAGCATGACTAGAACAGTGTGAATACGGAGGGTTACTATAGAACAGTTTGAAAGGGCTAAACATTCTGGGACAGTGTGAATGGGAAGAACATTCTAGAACAGCATGACTAGAACAGTGTAAAGTAGGGATAACATTTTAAAAACAGCATGATTGAGGAACAACATTCTAGAACACTGAACAACACAACGTGAAGTAGGGATAACATTTTAGAACAGAGTAAACGGGAAGACTAAAACAGTGTGAATGGGGCAAATATTGAAGAACAATTTGAACAGGGCCAAACATTCTAGAACAGGGAGAACATTCTAGAACAATGTGAAAGGAGGCAAACATTTTATTAAACATTTGAATTAACCGTAAACCGATCAAGCATAACATTCTGACCATCTCTTTGTTTCTACGCTCATTGTCCATTTTATCAGCTCCAATAACTATATAGGTGCACTTTGTAGTTCTACAGTTACAGACTGTAGTCCATCTGTTTCTCTGCATACTTTGTTAGCCCCCTTTTACCCTGTTCTTCAGTGGTCAGGACCCCCATGGACCCTCACAGAGCAGGTACTATTTGGGTGGTGGATCATTCTCAGCACTGCAGTAACACTGACGTGGTGGTGGTGTGTTAGTGTGTGTTGCGCTGGTCTGAGTGGATCAGACACAGCAGTGTTGCTGGAGTTTTTAAACACCTCAGTGTCGCTGCTGGACTGAGAATAGTCCACCAACCAAAAATATCCAGCCAACAGCGTCCTGTTGGCAGCGTCCTCTAACCACTGATGAAGGACTAGAGGATGACAGACACAAACTGTGCAGCAGCAGATGAGCTCTGACTTTACATCTACAAGGTGGACTGACAAGGTAGGAGTGTCTAATAGAGTGGACAGTGAGTGGACACAGTGTTCAAAAACTCCAGCAGCACTGCTGTGTCTGATCCACTCATACCAGCGCAACACACACTAACACACCACCACCACGTCAGTGTTACTGCAGTGCTGAGAATGATCCACCACCCGAATAATACTTGCTCTGTGAGGGTCCATGGGGGTCCTGACCACTGGAGAACAGGGTAAAAGGGGGCTAACAAAGTATGCAGAGAAACAGATGGACTACAGTCTGTAACTGTAGAACTACAAAGTGCACCTATATAGTAAGTGGAGCTGATAAAATGGACAAAGAGCATAGAAACAAGGAGGTGGTCAGAATGTTATGCCTGATTGGTTTATGTGCTCTTCATCCATACTTAGTCGATACAAGCAAATATGTACTCCCAGAATCGTATATTGAGTTCATTTTTCATGACATCAGTCACATTGCCCACTCCTACCCAATGTGTGGGTTTCCTGGAGATTTTCAGGTCAGTATGATCTTAGCATACATACTATTTGTAGAAAAAACAAAGCTTTGCTGAGTCTCTCTCTTGGCTATTCTGCTTATAGATGCTTTGCTTCAGGCAATAATGCTGTTAGAAAAACAGCTACTACTATTCGTCATGACGTCTCTCTACATGACTGAAGATTCCCGTGCAGCAAATTAGAAGTACCCCACTAAACCACACCAGCACACAAACAGTCTTTAGTTGAGCCATCTTCACAGCACCTGACCACAAACATCATCGCTCTCACTCATACAACACACACACACAATGGTTTTCTCTCTCTTGTGACACTTTTTCACACCTACATAGTCTCTGTTCCCTTTCACTCATTCAAACACAAAGGCAAGATACTCTCTGTTCCTCTACAGACACACAACACACACACAAGTTTTATATCATGTCAGGGTGTGGGGTTGTCCCCTCTATATATAACTATGTTAGCACCTACAGTGCTGTGCAAAGGCTTTAAGATCAGGAAGACTTGCATTTAACAACTATTTAATTCGCAGAGCAAACCTTCAACGACAACAGAACTCAAAGATGAACAGCTGCTGAAGTCGCTGTGGTAAATACACTTAAAAATAACTCTGTCTTTCTCGCTCAGCACCACTAGATGCTCCGTGCAACGGACCAATAGCAGTTACAAGTATGCTGCTGGCTTTACCGCGAACTTACCTTCCACTGTCATTGAGGGCGAACACCAGCAGAAATCCCTCTCCTGAGCGCATATACTGTTCCCTCATTGCTCCAAACTCTTCTTGACCTGCTGTGTCCAGAACTAATGAAACCACACAGAGATAGAGACAAGTGAGAGGCGCACATTCAAAATGTAACATTATATTAGATTAGATTACATTCAGCTCTGTCACTGTGCAGAGTGCAGGTACAGGGCCAATGAAATGCAGCAAGCATTTCACCAGAAAGAGCAAAATACAGTATTATTTACATATAAAAAGCAAGCAAGTACCTGACAATTGAGAGTTATGATACGTACAAGTAAGGACGGTACAGTGATAAAAAAAAAATATGTTGCAAGTATAAATATACATGTTTACAGAGTGAGTGGAGAGAATGCAAATGTAGGTAGTACAGGCTGCTGTAACAGTACATGAAAAAAGATAAGTACGTTAAAAAAATAAGTATGCAGAGTAAAAAAATAAATAAATAAATAAAATAAAAAAACAGTAACTACAAATATGAATAGCGCAGACGAAACAGTAGAAATAAAAATCTGTCAAACTTGATATCTGAGTTCATAAGGCATTATTGTGGGAAAATAAAAACAAAACATAGGACTCTTAATATACTGTAAATGGGACACCACCAGGGAGGGTATAGTGCTAAACTATATTAAATCCCGACCCAAATCCATAGTTGGTGGCTTGAAATTTACCTCCAAAAGTTGTCAATCTAAAGTCTTTAAGATACACAGACAAACGGCAATATGTTTTCACCTCTGCTGACATTATTAGCCTAGCACATTGTACATTTTAGCTCGAAAACAGCGAGTTTAAAGAGTTAGCTGCTGATGTGATAAAATTTGATAAGATATTTTTCCCTTAAATATATCACTAACAACTAACTTCTTGTAGGACTGGGCAAGCTGACGAAGTTAGCATTATCGTGACATGCTTTGTCACACTGTCACAATATGCTCTTCTGTATATGTATATGGAGTATAATCACTGAGTGTCTAATTAACAACTCCCAACTGTACGTTTGTTTACAGAGAGATTATAATTAGTCCTGTGTAACTGGATTCAGACTTTAGCCAGCTGCAGTAGTCTTTCTACATTTTCTTCTTTGGGATAAACATCTAGGAAACTTCCACAACAGCAGAATCTGGTGGAACAGTGCAGACTTATCACGGCTTACAAGTTAATTCAAATGATGGATGTTTATTGTTGCTAAAAAGAAAAAAATAATAATAATAATATTCCCTTTTGGATCAATTTTATATCATTTTTGTCTGTCTATTCACCACAAAATTTTCACACAACGTAAGGGACAGTTGTTGTGCTCATAGAAATATGTATTATTTAAAAAAAAACAAATAAAAACAAACACACTGCTGTCAGAACAAAACCTTGTATCTCCCTTCTTTCATTTTTCAGTTTTTTACATAATTTCAAAATGCCTGTTCTTTACATTGTGTGCAAATTTCAAAATGAACGGACCAAAAGAAACAGCCCAAAGTGACTTGGAAAATAAAGTCTGGTTCCATTGACTTACGTTAAAAATAAAGTATGTTTTTTGCTTCTCCTGTAAAGTTACCATTTTGGAGATACGAGGTTTTGTTCTGACAACAGTGATATATACATAAATAAATGGCCAGCAGCAGAATCTTTATATGTATCTTTATCTGTTTTTAAAAATATGTATGACTATTCAAACATTCGAAAACTCTGACCCTTCCCTACAGGAAATTACATGATTGTAACACAACTGTGAAGTAATAGAAGACGGGACACAAACATGACAAAACCAAATGACTTCATGATCTTTGCTGCACCTACACCTACAGGGAGTCATACGGTTTAAGGGCTTGCTAACTGTGGTTGCTTGATTTTGAAAGCAAAGTGCTGACAAACTGATGCAGCAAGTCAAAACAAAATTTGGTCAGGAACTATTAAAGCTAATCATGATTCACAATGATGCAATTCTGTTCCAAAAATCTGCTGCGTCTAACAGTTTTCAGTCTATTGTCTGTCTGTTTCTCTCACACACACAACCATTTCAACAACATGAACAACGACATACTGTCTAATCGGGTCTCCTTGCCATCCACGGTGCAGATCTTGGTGTAGGAATCCTCGATGGTGGGGTCGTAGTCTGACACAAAGTAGGACTGTGACAGGGAGAAGAGTCAGATATTATTGCTTTCAGTATGCTGCGCCTCGCAGACAAAGAGGCTTCTGGGCCTCGACATGAGAGGACATGTTGAGAACACACTTCACTCTGCTGTTAACACACACTCAGAAATCAGTGATAACTGCCCCTTGCTACAGTTTATACAAGCCGTACCAGAAACAACAGCGTAATTTGACATGTAGTGCACTGTAAATGACATTAGACATAAAACAGAACACAGTATTTATACAGCTGAGAATGTTTTCATGATAAACGGCCATTTCATTCCCATTAAATGGCCTGGGGGGCAGCACAGTTTGGGGATTTCACTTCTCTAATGCACTCGTTAAACCTTAAAACTAAAGGCGTACAACCCCATACTCCAGATGTAATCAATTAGCCAAGCCATGTTTAGTGTCTAGTAGGGATGGAAGGACATTTACCATCACTGTAATGAATTATGTCGCAACATGTCTTTCTGAGTATGTTGTGGATATTGTTAGTACTTCAGGAACACTGATTAAATGAATGTGGCTTTACCCAGAGAGCATAACTAGCCTCTTTGATTGGATTTACTTCGGCGCAATATGTAAAATGTAAATAATCACTGTATTAATAGTTTCAATGAGGTGATACTGACAAAACGTCAAAAAATTTACATATTGTGATGCATAGCGTATTGTGAAAACACCTGGCATTATCATGATATTATATGCTTGCCCACCCTTAGGGATCCATATTATTGTACAGTGTCAGAAATCCAAGTCTACTTAACAAGGAATTCCATGGATCTTTAAAATATGTCAGCATAATTCAATCGTTGTAATGAAAGTCATTCTATGGGTCGTTCTGTGTGATACAGTTCACTGTAGAGAAACTTATCAGCTTGGATTGCTTTACAGTGGTAGTGATAGGAACCAGACGATCATGATGTCTACAAATCAAATACAGATATTTTATTTACTACCCAAATGTGAGTGTATATATGTAATGTTGCGAACAGTTAATCTGAAAAAAAATTTTCTTGGGGACCTGCTAGACCCTCTTAGCTGTGAATGTTAAAAAAAAAAAGATAGTTTTGAGATAAAGTTGACGTATCAGGCAGTGTATCCATGACCATCTTCTGTGAGGGAGCTTTAAGAAGCATGAAACGCTCCAGGCGTCTGGTTCCTATCACCACCACTGTGAACAACTCTGACTCATCACGTTTCTCCAGAACTGAGCATTTTACATCAGATTACTCTGAAAGACTGTTTACATCCTCATACTGAAATCATGAATGAATTTTGAAAATTCAGTTCCACTTTAACAACTCAGGTAAGCCTAAGCCTAACCTTTAACAACTCAGGTAATCCCAACCCTAACCTTAACCTTAACTTCAGAGGCCAAGAAGAAACTCTGCCCTTTCAGCTTTAAGCAATGAAAAGTGGAGTTTTTTTGAAACTTCGTTCCTCCGGTCATTGTAGATGAGTTTCCCTCTTTTTTCTACATATTAAAGGACATTTTTAGCCCTAAAACCATCCAAAACACACACAAATACACCTACTTTCCACCATCTTTCAGGATAAAGCCCTTGTAACACGCTCACCTATTCTCATTACTAAAAGAAGAGCAAAGAAAAGAAGCTTAAAGCTATTAAATATTTATCTTTTCCAAATGTTGTCAATCAGCTCAGGCACATTTTGTGTCTAGCATCTCAACCAATATCAGAAAATGCATAAGCAAGCCTATTTTATTTAACAACTCTTCCTTTACTTTTTAACTACATTAGTCTTGTAGCTCCTGTGTAAAACTAAAGAAGCAAACCTCAGACACCAAACATGTCTAGGCTGATCAAGTACATTTATGGTAAGGTGCAAATGATGAACACTTCTCTTTTTTTGGTGGAACTACCACTTTAATTGTCCTGCCGAATCGAGTAAAAGGGAAATCAGCACACTGTGCTGGACACTACCCCTCAAAGACCACAGGCTGGGCACCCTGGCCTACATTTTGAACCACATTATTAATAGATTTAACAAGTATGACACAATTTACCTGAATGAACTGTATGGTCAGTGCGCTTTTCCCCACACCACCACCGCCCACCACCACCAGCTTGTATCTCTCCTCTTCTGATGACATGGCTGCCACAAAGTGGGAAGAAAATCAGTTTTAAAACAGTTTTAAGCTACCAGAGGTGGACAGAGGAGCCCAAACCGCATTAAACACCCCAACAAAGTAGAAAAATCCTCCAGTACTGAGCTCCCTATAGAACTGCAGTGCAACTTATTAGCACATTCAACATCTATTAGCACAGGAATTGAAGCCTGTTAGACTCTATTAATCTCTACTTGGGTCTTTTGGGTCTAGAATAACACTTGGAATGAAAAAAAGGAATTAAGAACTTAAAGTTTAGAAGTGGAATTGAACTGAGGAAGAAGAAAGACCCCTCCTGACAAATGCAACTGACTAAAAGAAGCAAAAGTAAAATATAAACCCAGCAAAATTGTATTGAAGTACATGTGGCTAAGTAGCTAGCACCCATTTGTGACCTGTGACAGGCATCTTATGCAAACAAAACAAACACAATAAATGGACAATGAACGTGGCTGCTGATCGTTATTACACAATATCTGCTCGTGGAACTTCAACAAGCAGCTTCTTGTTCGAATTTTCCCGTTCAACCTTAAAAGAAGCGGCAGAACGTAACTGCTGCACCATTTAAGGTGGAACGGGAAAATTCGAGCACGAAGTGGCGAGTAGGAAGCCAACTTCAGCCTCGGTTCCTGAGCCGGGCATCTCTCAGCCTCAACTCAACGCCACCTCAAAAGCGTTAAGAGAGTCGGTGTATGATTTAAAACGTCCTGTTTCGTTTTATTTACCATCTATCACCACATTTTGCCATATAAACGCAGATGTGGTCGAGTAACGGCCTGCAAAGCGAGCCGAGCAACGGAAAAAAAACTCGTCCATTAACTTACCTTTCCTTCCGCAGCCGCCTTCGGGTGATTCGCCACTCGCCAAAAGTCAAACGACTGAAAGTTTCAAACTTAGCAGTTGGACCTCCTCAAATCACAAACGACAGCGCACAAAGGCTCAAACCATTTTAAACCTCGGACACAGACGAGGTTCAGTGATTTGGCTACGTCTGTTAGCGTTTTTTCTTACTGATTTGTACTCGACCCTCCGCGTCTGCTCACTTTTTTCATACCCAGGAGCTACTTTTTCTTCCTCCGCTGTTTTCTAATACACGCCCGTATTCTGATATGTCCCGCCTTCCGTGCGATCGGATTGGCTAGTGGCCCACACCTTCCCACGCTAGGATTGGCTAGTCGCCAAAAGGGACGCCACTAGCCTATCGCGACACAGGACGTGAAACGATTCCAGCCAATCGTGGAGCAGAAGAGGAGGGCCTTGTCGGTTAACGAGTGGGGAAAAAAACAAGGCTTGCGGCGTAGCTAATTTCATACGTAGAAGAATAGGAGTGTCTCCCAGCGTTTTTCACGACCGAAAGAAAAAACGTTAGCAGGAAAGCAGTTTTTAAGCCGGAATGAATCCTCTAGTTGGCTAAAAAACAACCCTAAACGTAATTAGTGATGATATTAAGCCAATCTGGGCTGCTTTTCCGGATAACACGATCGGAGTAATTGCATGTGGTTCTTTCCATATTTGGAACGAGGCTGAAGTTGGCTTCCTATTCGCCAGCTTCTTCTTCGAATTTTCCCGTTCCACCTTAAGTGGTGGAGCAGTTACATTCTTATCCGCCAGCTTCTTCTTCGAATTTTCCCGTTCCGCCTTAAAAGCTGCAGCAGTTACGTCACAGTGCAGTGAAGGTATATTCTGGCGCCTGGGAATGTATCTGAGGAGCCAGAACGTAACTTCACGGCTACATTTAAGGTGGAACGGGAAAATTCGAGCAAGACACCGATCTAGGAGTAGGAAAAAAATCACTGCGCGTAACAGTGTTTGATTGGATTTATTATAATTGGACGAATATGGTGTATTGATGAAAAAAAAAAGATTTTTTTACACAGGCGCCAAAATGTTACTGCTGCACTTTTTTTCCATTTAAGGTGGGATGGAAAATTCGAATAAGAAGCCAATTTCAGACTCGGTCTCGTGTCAGTGAGGGGAGGGGGAGGGGGAGGGGGTGGCGCTCTGAATTCTACGAAGTGTGTTTATGTGATAAACACCGGTTATGTATCCGATTCAGATGTTTTAAGTTTGCTCATGTCCTCGTCATCTGCTCCACCCGCCGGACATGAGTAACAGGGCGTAGTGAATTTAGTTGAAGCACTTCTGTCTGAACCCAACCCAGACACATATGAAACATATTTCCCTTCGTTCCGATTGGATGAGACAACTTTATGAAGAGTGAAACGACATTTAGCTTGTTGTATGATGCTATGTACAATATCTATCTATCTATATATATATATATATGACCCCAGGACCCCCACAGAGCAGGTGGTGGATCATTCTCAGCACTGCGGTGACACAATGACGGTGGTGGTGGTGTGTTAGTGTGTGTTGCGCTGGTCTGAGTGGATCAGACACAGCAGTGCTGCTGGGGTTTTTAAACACCTCAGTGTCACTGCTGAACTGAGAATAGTCCACCAACCAAAAAGATCCAGCCAACAGCGCCCTGTGACCACTGATGAAGGACTAGAGGATGACCAACACAAACTGCAGCAGCAGATGGGCTGTCATCTCTGACTTTACATCTACAGGGTGGACAAACCAGGTAGGAGTGTCTATAGAGTGGACCGTGTAGACGCTCCAGCAGCATATATATGAACCACCTTAAAATCACCAGTTGCCTCTAATGATCAAATAGGCTTTATGCGACTTGAATGATTTAATACACATTATATTCCTAATGTGTCTTGAGGGAGAATTCCACCCTAATTTTACGTTTGTGAAGGACTGGATCATTGAGACGTGAACAGAGTCATTCGGAGTGGTTTACCGTAGAGAAGCTAGCCGACTCTGGATTACTTTACAGTGGTGGTGATGGGAACCAGGGGTCACCATGTCTAACACACAAATATAGCCATTTTCTTTCCTATCCAACACCACCAGTGAACCTACATGTGTCTTCTAAGTATTTATATGTAATGTTGATAAAGGTAAAACAGCAATGAATTAAAAAAAATGCATTAAAACAACCTATATGTACCTCTCCACCATGAAGGTATTTTTAAAAATATGTTTTAGGCCAAATCCTTAAAACTATTGTTAAACAGTGTCTCAGGCATCAGACAGCATATTTGTAATCAGTTTGTGTATCTGTGAGGGATTTATAGAGGCGTTAAAGTCATCAGACGTCTGGTTCCTATCACCACCACTGTGAACAATTCTGACTCATAAAGTTTCTCTAGAATGAAGCATTTCACAACAAACCACTCTGAATGACTTTATGTCTCAGTGACAATTACATATTGCCATCTATATCTATCTATATACACATACATATATATATATATATATATATATATATATAACATTATGACCATAACATTATGACATTATCCTTGTTTCTACACTCATTGTCCATTTTATCAGCTCCTCTTACTATATAGGTGCACTTTGTAGTTCTACAGTTACAGACTGTAGTCCATCTGTTTCTCTGATACTTTGTTAGCCCCCTTTTACCCTGTTCTTCAGTGGTCAGGACCCCATGGACCCTCACAGAGCAGGTACTGTTTGGGTGGTGGATCATTTTCTGCACTGCATTAACACTGACGTGGTGGTGGTGTGTTAGTGTGTGTTGTGCTGGTATGAGTGGATCAGACACAGCAGTGCTGCTGGAGATATATATATATATATATATAGTACTATGTAGTTGATAAGAAATACCACGGAAGAAGCGTACGTGTAAAATATGTCATCTTTAATGAACACTGTGTCTCAGTACAAGCCGTAGTGCTAAAATAGCCAGTCAACCTGAAAATATCAGTTTATAAATAACCACAATAATCAATTCAATAAATAGATTCACAGGCAGGCTGTGCATTAAAATAGAACAGACGTAGCGAAGTCTTCTTCAGCCATTTGTACACATTCAGTGCATTTGAAGGATCAACAGCAGATAGGCGATTTACGACAGAGCATTCGCTCAAAGTGGACTCGTCCATCACACTAATGATATCAGATAGAGGCCCTACATGCAGTCCAGTCGAATAGGCAGAGTCACTCTCACAAACAAGCACAAGTGTTCACACTCATACTCATACACATATTCACACCCTCCCTTTTCTTTCAGTTCCTTTTCCTCCTTCATTAAAATCCCCTTTTTGCTCATCTGTGGAGCAAAATAATCGACACAACACTAAAAAAAAGGCATGCGCTGGATTTGCTTCAGCATCATTTCCACCGTTTGGTCTTTCAGTTTACTTAGCTTGGTAACCACTGTGTTGATTATAATATTTATCACTGATGTGGAAATGATGTTCAAGCAAATTCAGTGCACTTTTCAGTGTATGAACGAATCTTCAGTGCCCACCGGCCTTCCTTCAGCATCTGTATGGCAGGGCAGCCTGGCCCACTTTAATATGGGGGCCGAGAAGGACCCCAAGCAGCATGCGCTCCCCCCATCCCAAGAGTCTGTTAATGGTCAGGTTGATGGGTGACATAGGGCTTTGGTCAGCATCAGTAACCTCCACTGCTTCTACTGCACAGCCTGGCGCCTCCTGCTGGAGAGCTGCGGTGCTGCTTTCCTTTGGCAGCGTCTTGCAGTCTGACTTTCTCCTCGGCTGGGTTGGGTTTGGTTTCGGTTGCTCCTCCTTCTTTGCCCTGTTCACCGCGGAGCAGCTTCGTTTCTCACTCTTTTCTCTTCTTCTCGAGCTGCTGTTGGACCTATTAGCTCCGTTCAGTGAAAAATCACGCCTCCTGGCTTTCCCTAAGGTTTTTGGTGCCCCCTTGTGGCCAACAGGGGTACTGCACACCTCATTCTGAGTACAGCTGCTGCTAACTGCTGGGGCCTCCTTGTGGTCAGCCCAGGGGTTAGAACAGACTGGTGTGAGTGACAGAGTGAGGCTTTTACGCTTCTCTAATAGAGATGGGAGCTGAAGATGAGTAGGCTTTGGTGGCGTCGGACTGTGTGCATCCTGCTGGGTCGAGGCTGACCTCTGAACATCTGCAGGCTCTATACTCAGAGTTAGCGTCTTGAGCTTGTCGGAGAGAGATAAAGTAAACTCTGGCTTTGGGTTTCGGGTGAGAATAGCTTCCTTTCGGGTGTTCTCGCTCTCACAGTGCACATCTGCTTTGGTGTCCTCCTTAATCACGTTATTACGATTATTGTCCAGAACATTGTCCTGCATGTCATGGTTGCTTAACAGTCCTTGAGTGGAAGTGCTGTTGACCGTTTTGCTTGCAGACTGCAAGGTTGTATCCGAAGAACTGACTGGCTGCTGTGTGGGATGGTTTGCATGACTGCTCTTCAGAGGAAGCGTGCCCTGGAAGAGCTGCAGTTGACCTAAGAAGTTGAAGTTGGGGGAAATCGTAGGCCTTCGCTCCTTCACAAACCTAATGAGAAAAAACAGTATTACAGCATTTAATGTAATTACATCAGTGTTTTTGACAATGACCATAATGTGGCCTTTCTTATCTTATTTCTTACACACATGCACCCTCGCTTATTACCTGTAAGCATGATCTAGATCCATTCCCAGGCTGTACATAACATAAGCGACAGCAAGAGCCGGAGAGCGGGAGATTCCTGCTGCACAGTGGACGATGACCGAGCAGCCCAGAGACATGGCCCCATCTAGAAAACAAACAACAACTTCATAAGTCGACTTATTTCACCCAATGAAGTGATATTATGCCATCAACAATGACGGTAGACTCTAGTGGATCTCAGTTCGGTCCTCATGACCCCAGTTTGAGAATGACTCTTCTATGTGCTTACTAAATTATCAAAGAATATGCTTAAATAAGTGAAGTACTTAAATGCCCTTTCTTATTATATTCTAAAAGGCTTATTATATTTAGTAATTACAGTTTTTCTTTAAGGGGAATTCCACCAAAATGTATCAAATTTTCTGTATAGTTAAATCATTTAGATGTAAGCAGAGACAGAGTGGTTTAATATGAAAAACCTAGTGAGTCGGAACTGTTTACAATTGTTACACAAAATGGTTACAAATATGCTACCCAAGAAACTGTTTTTAATCGTTTTGAGTCTGAATGTCTTTATCTAAAACATCATTTTTAAACTATTTTTAAAATTTCATTGTGGTTAGGTATATTCAGGGCATTGTGAGGCAACTGTTTCATGTTTAACACTATTTTACCATCTTCAACATTACATATAAACACTCAGAAGACTCATGTAGGTTCACTGGTGGTTCTGGATAGTAAATAAAATGGCTATGATTGTGTTGTAGACACTGTGACCCCTGGTTTCTATCACCACCACTGTAAAGAAAACAGAGTCGGCAAGTTTTGATGAACGATTTCACACCAAACCACTCTGAATGACTTTGTTTACATCTCAGTGATTAAATTAGGCAGAAAATGTGAAAAATCAGTAGAATTCCACTTCAAGTTAATGGGAGCCTAGACCCTCCAATTAGTCTTGGATATTTCAGGGGTTGAAAGATGTGCATTAACTAAAATTACTGGATGTTATAACATATATGAGTTTCACATATTTAGCTAATAGGTTTCACTGATAAAATAAGGCTTTCTGCAGAGGCTGGTTTTGATGCTCAGTACAATACAATGACGTCACATGTGTTTATTTAAACGTTCCCAGCCAAACTGCACCAGGGGTTTTCACTCCGAACAGCCTGTTTGCTTTAGCACATGCACAGATCTCTGTGTTCCTGTCATGTTCCCCCAGTGCAGTAATGATGTAATGCAGCAGCAATGCACACAGTGCTGGGCGGGATTTGAGCGCGCCTCACCAATAAAGCGCAACGCCTGGGGGATCCAGGGCAGCAGGTCGTCCCGGAGAGAGTCGTCTATGGGGATGCGGAGGTACTGAGACTGGGGCAGGAAAGAGGGCTGAGGGCAACAGCGACTAACGCTTAGTACATAAGAAATACCCCGGGCAGAGAGGCAGTCCTGAGAGAGAGAGAGAGAGAGAGAGAGAGAGAAAGAACAGTAAACAAAAGCTAGACTAACTCTGAGAATGCCAGAATGAACAGCTCACCCAGTGATACTGACACAGTAAACATACACAGAAAATTTCCTCTGAAATCAACAGTATTCATACGGAAATCTGATTTTTGGCCATATATACACATATAGCATAAAGGGTTAGGCATATATAATTTTTAGTGTACATATATGTAAGTATCAGATATTGGACATGCATACATGCAAAAATATAGATCATACATATACTATATGTTCGAGACAAACAAGATTTTTTAAAGCAAAAAACATGTAACATGAAGCGAGCATGCCATGCATATATGAATGCTTTCTATCATATATTGTTAAAAATATATGTGACACATATATGTTTGTATAAATTGATATATGGCTGAAATATATGTGCCATATTTAAAAATGGCCAATTTCAAATAATATATGTCACATATATATCAATAAATGACAAAAGCTGAGTTGGATATAAGGAAAGCTCATGTATGCTAATTTATGCATATATACTGAAATCCATATATTGCCATATTCTGTATGGGTATTCATAGTGAGTTTGTCCTCTGTAACAGCCTCTACTCTTCTGATAAGGCTTTACACTAGATATTGTGCATTGTTGTTGCATTCGCGTTGAATGATTAGATCACAAACGCCACTCTGATTAGTTCTAAAGGTACTGGATGGAGCTCCATCACTCCAGAGAATACAGTGCTGAGGGGCCTTATAACCCTTTAGCCCACATTCACAGCTGGATTCACTAATTAGACGAGCTGTCATTTTTTTCCATACAGAAATCTGATATATGGCCACATATGGACATGTATCATAAGGAGTCGGGTGCATATTTTAAATTATATGTACATACCTGTTGTGTACATATATATGAGTATCAAATAATGGGCATATATGTATAATATAGAGATCATACACATATATGTCTGATACATGGTTGAATCCATCCAAGTACAGTCATAACTGTTACTATTATGTTTGCTTTTGAGTGTTAATATTCAAAAATATTTCACTTTCTGTCATGTTTTAATGATTTTATTGCGTAGCTTACGATGTGCATGTTTTTAGAGTTTAGTTATATAGTTACAAAGATTTATGTCTAAAAAAAGTTTTAAAAAGTATCATATATAACATAACGTTAGCATATATGAATAATATATATCATGCATATATGAATGTTGCCTAGCATATATTATTATTATTATTAATATATTTGTGATCTGTATATTGCCATATATTAGATTTCCGTATCTAATATAGATTTTTGATTCAGTTTCTGATTGATTTTGATCATGTAGGTTGGATATTAGAGCTACTTTGGAGAACCGAAGGCTACCTGCGTTACGTCCGTCTCTGCCCCGAGGTAAAGCTGAGGCAGGATGAGGGACAGCGGGGCTCGCTCAGGCTGACCTTCCCTGCAGAAAACCATCTCTACACGGAGGCTCTGCTGTCCAGATCTGGAGAGGAAGAAAGCTGGTCAGTGCTGTGAGCATCATAAGTGACGCATTAAACATCAAACGCTTAGAAGTGAACACACCAAAATCAGCCTATCTAGCAGCAGTAAGCCAAGACTGCTGGACTTTTTCTATAACACTGAAGATTTTACACTTACAGCTCTACTGTAGCCTTGATACAAATAATCAGCTTAGAACAGCATGCTGCATTTAGACCTGCACTAGCCTTGTCAGCAGTCAACACAAAGTAGGAAAAACTACAGCCACCAAGCAAATACTGACACTCAATTTCTGCAGTCGACTCAGTTCAGCAGATTGCATGCAGTCTAATAGCAGAACCCCCCTTGGTTTAGACACTAGAGCATCTGCAGCCCAGCAGAAACAAAGCCCAAAGTGAAAAATAATACCCACCAAGCGAACTCGAAAGCAGTCAAAAATGCAGCTGAGGTCCAAAAGAGTCCAAGGGTGGAGAATAATCGCAGTGCAGTGCGAGGACGCGGGTATTAAAGCCTCGATGAAAGTGTGGTTCGTTCTGTAAAGCAGCTCAGCCGCTCTCTCCGTCCGTCTCTCTGTTTCTGCTGCTGCTGCTGCTTCTGTTGTTGTTGTTTGTAGCTTCTGTACCTGCGCGAGGCAGAAAAAAAATGACGTAATGCCGATTCCAGAACCTAAGAATAGTTCGATTGTATTGTGATGTCATTTCCAGCCAATCAGCGCCGAGGACCGCTGCTCTGAAGCGCGCACGCGCACGCGCACGCACTCCGTTTGTTCTACATCATCAGTTTGCCTTGTTGAGGCCGTCGGCGCTTCACGTTATTCGTTTATTTATTTAATGTGATGAGTCCTGTTTTTATTCAGGGGACGTGCTCGGCGAAGCTCTTTCGCCTCCACAGACAAGGACATGGAGGTTTAAAGGAAAGAAAGAGTGAAAAAGAAACACTGAACCGCTTTTTTGTATGACTTTTCCCGTTCCACCTTAAATGGTGCAGCAGTCACGTTATTTGTCAGCTTCTTGTTTGAATTTCCCCGTTCCACCGTAAATGGTGCAGCAGTTACCTTATTCGCCAGCTTCTTGTTCCAATTTTAACGTTCCACCTTAAATGGTGCAGCAGTCACGTTGTTTGTCAGCTTCTTGTTTGAATTTTCCCGTTCCACCTTAAATGGTGCAGCATTTACCTTATTCGTCAGCTTCTTGTTCGAATTTTAACGTTCCACCTTAAATGGTGCGGCAGTCACGTTAGTTGTCTCCTTGTTTTAATTTTCCCGCTCCACCTTAAATGGTGCAGCATTTACCCGATTCGTCAGCTTCTTGCTCGAATTTTAACGCATGCAGGGGAACTCCACCAAATTTTCAAATTATCTGCATAATTAAATGGTTCAGATGTAATCAAAGTCAGGGTGGTTTGGTGTGAAATGCTCCATTCTAGGGAAACTTGCCGAATCAGAATTGTTCACAGTGGTGGTGATGATAAACGTCTGTTTAATGCCTTTAAAAGTGCCCTCACAGAGTTACTAGATGAAATCGTTATGAACATGCTGCCTGATGTCTGACATGGTCTAAAATGGTTTTGTGAGAATGTTTTGTCCCAAATACATTTTTTTAAATCTATTTTTGGCCAAGAGGTACATGAAACATTTTTCAGATTTCCACTATTTTTAAAATTGTTAAAAATGAAAACTCAAAAGACTTGTGTAGGTTCACTAGTGATTATGAATCTGAAATAAAATGGCTATATTTGTGTTGTAGACATCACGACCCCTGGTTCCTATCACCACCACTGTAAAAATCGGTGGAATTCCCCTTTAATGTTAAAATAATGGGCTGAGTATAGGCATGAATGAGAACTTTAACCAGGAAGCAGCTGTATTGAAATTTAAGGCAAAAATGTAACAAAAATGCATAAGTAACTATTCTACAATCAGATTTAAGTGAAATTATATTCATATTTCAAAATTTCTGCATAATTACACCGTCAGGCTGTAAACAGAGTCATTGAGAGTGGTTTAAGGCTCAGTTCTAGAGAAACCTGCCAAGTCAGAATTGTTCAGTGGTGGTGATAGGAACCAGACGTCCGAGGTGTTTCATGCCTCACAGAAATCTACTATATGAAATGGTTATGCATATGCATGTAGGGCATTATGAGGCAAAAGTCACTAAAGAAAACTCTAAAAAAAACAAAAAAACAACAAAAAAACTGTACCACTACTTAATCATAAACATGACATTAAAACTCAGAAGGCGTGTAGGTTCACTGGTGGTTTTGGATAGTACATAAAAATATTTGTGTTCGACATCATGACCCCTGGTTCCTGTCACCACCACTATAAAGAAATCAGAGTTGGCAAGTTTTCTACATTTAAAATGCACCAATTTCACACCAACCACTCTGAATAATTGTGTGCATAGATTAAAATTTTAATAAAATGGGTGGAATTCCTCTTTAAGACAAAAATGTAAGCTTAGAATACACATGCAATCCGTACACTCTACATGCAGATACACAGTACATCCCTATGAAAGGCTGGCTGTACATGATGACCTAGTTTGCTCTTCAACCTGAATTCAGCTGAGTAAGACAGACAAAGTGAGAACAGAAGAGACTCAAATGGAGTATATGGCATAGTTTTACTTTCACATTATTCAGTACAGAGTAAATTTAATCTAACACAGGTATCTGACAGGTTGAACACCGATACACTGGGGCTGCATTAGCTAGCGGATACTGCATAGACACACACACACACACACACACGCACACACATACCATGACAAGTCTAAACTCAACTACCATGACAAAGTCCCATCAATGCATCACGTCCGCGCTGCACTAGGGGAAGCATAGTGACTCTTCATTGAACTAATATGACAATGTCCCATAAACGTCCATTAGATTTTTTAAACACACACACACACACCACATACAGCATTCACTCATACTCGCTCGCCTCACAACGCTGACATTATCCCTGTGTTTGTGATTGACAGTTGGTAAGTCCTTTGCTATCTGTCCCTCCTTAGGCATACTGCCCTAAAACTGCGTGTGGGCATGTGCCAGATTTCATTCACTAGTGTTCACACAGGTAAGTGCTCTTGCAGGATTTTGGCTGCAATGCAAAAAATACAGTACTGCACAAGAGCAAGGTCACCCCTCGTTTATTTACCTTCCAATCAAAACAGCTATTATGTACAAGTTATTCATTTTTCAGCAGGAAACATTTGAACAGGAGCCTCATCAACTAATATGAGGAATATCTTCGATCAGGTTGACTGGATTTTCTGCTTCTGCTTCACATGTTCTTCGTTTGTGTTTATCTCCTTTTCTCAGTGAGGTTCTTCTTGACAGCTACACATCCTTTCAGACCCATAGCGCTAAGTCGTCTTCTCACAGTGGAAGGATGGACAGAAACACCTGTGGATGTTTTCAGATCTAAAGCAGCTTGATTTTCTCCTCTCTCTCAAAGATGAAAGCTTTAAGTGCTGTTTATCTGATGGGGGCAGTTTTGGTGTCTACCAGGTCTTCCAGGTGGTTTTTAGGATTTCTCTGTAGCAGCGGTGTCCAATCTTATCCACAAAGGGCCAGTGTGGCTGCAGGTCTTCATTCCACCAAAGCAAGAGATCACCTGGTTGGCAGTCTGAAACCAACTGATTAAACAAGTGGAATTAGGTGAGCTCCAGCCTGTTTTGAGGGAAACCCTGCAGCCACAACGGTCATTTGTGGATAAGATTGGACACCTCTGCTCTGTAGCTTTTAATCATTTTTCCAGTTTTCACTTATTTTCTTCTGACATTTGTTTTTGTGAATTATTTTACATAGTACAATAGCTTGTACTTAATGGCTGTTTTGACTGGAAACGTAATAAACGAATGGTGGTCCCCGACTTTCCAGTACAGCAGCTGGGCATCAAACAACCCAGCCTACGAATGCATCCATATCTATTGTACATGACAGTGTGTGCATGTGTGTGTGTGTGTGTGTGTGTGTGTGTGTGTGAGTTGGAGACATCAAGTTATGAGGTACCCACTCTCCACTGCTCTTTTCAGTCAGTTACTCTGTGGGAGGACACTTGGACAGTCAGTGCCAATATTCCAGAGATTCCTTTCTGCACAGATTACAAAAAAAAAAAGAAAAAAACAAGAAAAACAAAAATACCACTAGAGGAAGTAAATGATGCTTCACTACTTTTCTGAAACTCGATGGCATACCGCACATCTCCCTCCTGTCCGCTTTTATCTTTTACCTGACCACCCAGCTGAACATTTTAAACCTGTCCTAGACCTCAATGCCCATGTACTTAATACATTAACAACGAATGGAATGTCCAAAAAACGTAAATACGCAATAAAGACACTTTTCAGAAAGCATACAAACACGTCAACAATGCCACTATCAAAACAAACGAGAAAGAGACAAACATAGAAACTCAACCATGACGGACAATTTTTGTACATAATGTTTATATATATTTTATATATATATATAATTTTTTTCATAAACATTGTTGTAATCAGGTACGGAATCATGATAAGTATTTGAACTTTAACTAGAATGGGAACGGGGAAAGGGACGGGGATCTACAAAAGCCTTTTCTCTCCAGGCCTCTTAAAGTGCACTGGCCAGCACTCGCTTTCAAGGAATGTGGAACAACAGCAAGAAACAATGAAATACTCTCAGATTATATTAATTTTCCCCTCGTGTGCGCCTTTGGCTCTAGAGTATGGAAGCCCATTCAGACCAGGTAGAGGAGAAAAATGATCATGAAATCCTGTTTAAATCTGAAGTTTCTGGCAGCTGTATGTCAAAATAATGACTTAGTATCTTGAAAAAAATAATTACGTCCTTGAAATATTGACTTAACTTCTCAAAATAAGGACTCACAAAGTTCTGACTTAGAATTTCAATATAATGACTTATTGTCCAAAAATATTAACTTGGCATCTTGACTAGATGACATTGTCTCAGAATTTTGACTTAGCATTCCGTAATAATGACTTTTTTCCTCTCAAAATTTTGACTTAATCTCTAAATAATTAGAGACTGTGTGAAAATATGTTAAGTTTGTAAGTAATTATTTTGGAATGAGTCGTTATTACGAGATACTAAGTCTTTATTTCAACATAGTAAGTCAACTTTAGTCAACTTGATTATTTTGAGACAATAAACAAATATTTTAACATACTGTTGCCAGAAAGCTTATGTTTTTTTTCCCCTCTATGGGCTTCCATACTAGAGTGCTGGAGAAGACAGCTTTTCGAGAAAAGAGGAGGGAGGGGGTAGTGATTCTTCACAATGAAGTGCCTTTTCTTTAGTGTATTCTGATTGCAGTGTTACTTTTATTCATTTATTTTGTCCAGCTCAGGAGCCGGTCCTTCAAAAGACCCCCTTCTAACTAGCCAACACGGAATGTTCCACAGAAACGGCTCATGTGCGACGGGACACGCGTAGAACGAGTGTGCGTGCGTGTATAATGTTCTCCCAAGTATGTCCTAGGAATGCTTACAGATTGAAATACTGTGGAACGCACAGAGACAAAGAGAGAGAGAGAGAGAAAAAGGGGAAGAACGTCTTTCCGTCTCTTTCTCGGTCGCTCCCTCTTTTCTTTCACTCCTTCCACGACCCACACCAGCTGTCAACACAAGCACAGGTGGACTGGTTAACAGGCAGGACGGGAAAAAAAATTTGAACTATTACAATTCTTTCGTGCGTGTGCCAATATGCTCACGCACTCATTCATCCACACACACACGCAGGCGGACACGCTTCCTTTCACTGCTCACACACAGGTAAACACCAATAAAAACAAGAACGGTAGCGCTGATGATAATATACAATAATAATCATAATGATCAGAATTAGGACAGTAATATTGCTGCCGTTAAGGCCGGCAGCTACTTTTTCCCTTATGTACGAATGCTTTTGGAGATTCTTTGTTCAGGGTTCTGGAAGGTGGAACGCTGGTCTGGTCGTGGTTCTTCTCGGTTCTAGAAGGTGATGGTCTAGACGCGGGTTCTAGAAGCTGATTCTAGAACTGTTCTGCCAGCAGCTCGCAGAGACGCTTGGCAACGGTGTCCTTACTGCTGCGCAAAGTCAACCGGTACATCTGAGGAAAAAGAGCAGCAGAAGTTTAGAGAGGAACAGAAGGGCCCACACAAACGGTACTGCAACACTACACTATCAGACCGTAGTTGATCCTAATTGTGTAAATGTTAACACGCAGGCTGTGACTGAAATGGTTCCCTATTAGTGACGGAGGGCAATACAATCTCCCACAATCCATTTATAAACATAAGGTAGATCACTACATCAGCTAAATGTGTACCAAAGTGCTTGTCTCTTGTTGCTAAGTAACAAATAAATAAACTATATGTTAACAGTGGGCGCTGAGCCACTGAAAACTAAACTTATCAGATGCTTTGGCTCTCTGGAGAAACACTGCAAAAAGCAGCAGCCCTGTACAGTTAAAATGAAGACCCTCGTGCTGCATGTGTACACTAGTCAAGTTTTTCTCTTTCTTCATCACCTGCACTTATGTTATGATGTTTACGGCTACAAACAACAAGCTTCAGCCTCATTTCAAGCAAATAATATTAGTTTGTTTATGTGACTCGTGAGTTTTGACGCAGGCTAATGATGAGAAAGCGTCTGAATATAATATAGATTTGGGTGTTTTACCAGTATTTAATAAACTAAATAGTTCACCCCTGAAAAGCACAATACTAATGAAGGAGCAGAAATCCTTTTCAGTCACAGTCAAAGACACGTATTGCAAATAAAACTGCATGATGAACCACAGATACACAGAGGGAGTGAGATAACTGATGACACGCCAAGTGGCCTGGGCTCTACTACTGCACAGAGAGAGAGAAAAATAAAGTGACAGAGTGAGAAAAGAAAGAGAAGGAAAAAAGAGAAAAATAAACAGAGGAAAAAAAAGACGAGAGAGAAAAAAAACAGAAGGAAAGGACAGAAAGAGTGTGAGAAAGACAAAAATTATAAAGCAAAAGAGAAGCAAGAGAAGAAAAAATGGATAAAAAAAGAGGAAGGACGAGAGAAAGAGGCAGAATAAGACAAAGAAAAAGGTAGAAACAGAAAAAAAGGATAGAAAGACAAATAGAAGAAAGAGTGAAGAACACAAAGTAAAGAGGATTAAAGAATAGAAAGAGAAAAGAGGTAGAAAGGAAATACAAAAAAAGGGATGGAGAAAGACAAAAAGAATGAGAAGAGAGGCAGAAAGAGAGAGAGGAAAAAGAAAAAAAAGACAGAAAGAAGAAACAAGTCAGAAATAAAAAGGGTACAAAGAAAAGAAAAAGGGATGGAAAACCAGAAAGAGCAAAGAAGAGAAAAAAGAGGATAAAAAAGAGAAAGAGAGAAGAGGAAGAAAGAAAGGAAAAAGAACAAAAAGAAAAAGAAAGGGATGGAGAAAAAAAAAGTAAAAGAGAAAGACAAAAAGAATGACAAAAGAGGCAGAAAGAGAGAGAGGAAAGGAGAAAAAGATATAAATAGACAGAGTCAGAGAGACAGAATGGACAGGAGTGGGAGGAGGGCCAGATGAGTGTTACCTGCTCCCCAGGCTTGAGATGCAGCAGCAGATACAGAGACACAGACAGTAGTGAGATGCAATGAGACACAGACAGAGACTGACTAGACTGACCAGAGACCCCACCAGCACAGGGCTGAACTGTGTGCATGTGCGATTATTTTTAGGATTACCTGTGTAGACCAGCTGAGTCAGTATTAGAGAAAGTCTGCTGCTGTTGGTGTTTTGTGGTGGAGTATTTTGAGCGTATATATGAAGGTTAAATGTACAAACATAATGTAAGAACACTGGATGTTTGGGATCTGAGGAACATACGTCCCAAAGCATGAGCAGGGAAGTGTCTGTGTACCTGGGCTTGTGCGTTGGGCTCAAGTCTCAGTAGACAGCCCACTTGTTGGGCCTTGGTTTGGATCACTCCGGCACACACAAAGTTGTCTGGGTTAGGATCCACTTTCTCCAGCAGGGCTGTACCCAATCCCAGCAACTACACATCCAGAGAAGAGAGAGGAGAAAATACTTGTTTACTTGGGATGCACAAGTGTGTAATTTTCAGAATACAATACAAACGGCTGGTGAAAAGAAATTAACACAAAAAAAAAATTCTTAGAAAACAAAGTTAAACACACAAAAAGTGTAAATGGTTTTAAATTAGTTTATTTTTCTTACTTTTACATTTGTCTTTTTGTCGCTGTTTAAAGAAAAACAAGTGTCTTCAAAATAGAAACTTTACAGTAGAAGGGAAAACACTCTTAACTTTCAATGTAAGTTAATGTAGACATTTTATTCCAAGTGATTTTAGAGCATTTCTATTGGTCCACTCAACATGAAAATGTTCACACAACGTAAAGGACAACTGGTACGTTGAAATGATGTAGAAAAAGAAAAATCGCCAAAAATGAAGATGCATGGTTTTCTTTGGACAGCGACGATATCAAGTGTATTTAATACAACAAAGAAAACAGATTCAATGTCACTACGTAAAATCTGAATTGTTTCAGAAGCCCTTTTATATATTTATAAAATAAATCAATGCATGCATACTCCCCGAAAGAAACTGGTTCATATACTGTCTTTACCACTAGAGGCTGTTTAATGCCTCTAAAAGCTCCTTCACAGAAAGTTATTACATTAAATGGTTATAAATACACTGCCTGATGTATGAGACCTTGGTAAGTTTCCCTAGAATGGAGCACTTAATATTACACCCTTCTTAATGACTTTGTTTACATCTCATTGGACTATGCATACATTTTTAAAAATCAGTAGAATTTCCCTTTAACACTGCTTACCCATTTGTGTCTGTGGGGGAAGCAACCTTTCACAAATGGACTGAAACTTCTATAAGAGATCTGCCTCTCAGCAGAATAAAAGACTGTAAGCAGTCATACCTTAGCTTTGAGCACTTCTGTGTCCATGGCATGGTTTGCCTTAAAGATCTTTTGTGCTTCTTGCTGAGGCCTGTGACGGGAGAATGACCATTATTTTTTTTTCCTCCACACAGCAATTTCAACACACATACACACCCATCACGGTACTGCATTTGGTGTAGATGATTTTAGGCATGCCAACTGCAACACACTTCCCAAAACGCACACATAAAAAGACTCACTGGCTGAGCTGTTTCCAGCGCTGAAAGAAGTCATGAGAAGCCATCTCAGTGGGCTGGAAGAACTTGTTGATGGTGACGGGCAGCTTGAGTGTAAGGTTCTGCAGAGCCCCACCATACCTGAAACACAATGGCAGTTGCGAGCACTAAGCTTGGGCAATAAGACTATTTTATTATTGCAGTATTACCTATCTACCATCTAACAACATTTCTGCACCAAGGCAGTGATCGGCAACTTTTCTGTTTAATTGCACTTGCATGTTTAATAGTGCGAACAAAGCGGTCAACAAGTTAGAATCAGATAAAATCAACAATTATTGGATTGTTTACAAAAAGCAAAAAAAGTCCCAGGAAACACATAGTAAATCATTGAAATTGTCTGTATGATATTAAAATTGAGTGTTACAGTACACATTCAGCAAAGCTTGAATGAAAAAATTAAAACAAACACATTTAACACTGTGATTGGTGAGGATACTGCTTTTGTAAACACTGATGTAAAGGAGTGCTCCTTTACAACATTGTTTTACAACACTGTTGTAAAGGAGCTGGCCGGTCACTGATGGGGAAATAAATGGGAAAGCTTGTAACACTCAACATGGCGTTAGTTTATGAGGAAAGTCCCACCTTTCTATAAAGAGAGCCAATCAGCTTGCTGGTTAAGAAAAAAAAGCTCCCACATTTGCACATCTGCAGTAGCCAGAACAAGCTAAAAAACTGTGTTTTGTGTGTTATTTGAGCCAAATGATACAAACTGTTTATATTGTTTTTGTTGGATTTTATCACTGATTTCAAATATGTTTTTGAAACGTTAATTTGGCTTAAAGTTTCAGTTTTATAGTCAAAAAGATAAGAGCCTGGTCTTGTATGAGTGGAAATAACTGCCCGGGGGCAATACAAAGGTGGCCATTGAGTGGACAGACTTTCCTACAAGGACTTTAATACTACCCAAGATTGCAACTGCCCAGTTTGCATTGAAAAAAGAAAAATATTGGCAAAATACACTGGGCATATACAAGGCATTCGAAAGTTATTCATAGAATTCTTTCATTATGTTCTTTATCGGTCTAGGAATATCATGTTTTATTGATGTGTTGTTATAAAATGCGGATTTCTGATACAGAGCCAAATTATGCCTGCATTCTAGCGGTGGGCAATATGGGTAAAATATTATATCACAATATGTAAAGACCTTTACATGAAACATGATGTGCATCACAATATTTTGATTCTCATTCAAATTTACCAGAATTGCCACATCTTAAAAATGGTATCAAATACTCCAAATGATATGATTTAACATTTCACACACTGCACTAAATCTAATTAAACAGGACAAATTATGCTCTCTTTGTAATGAAACATGCAGTTTAGTACAGACAATATCTAATATGCTCAGACAAGCATACTGTTTATCACAATAGCAAACCTTATCATAATAACAATCATTATATTGCTCATACCTAATTTCACAATTAAATATCTTATTTCTGAACAAATATATAACCCCATCTACTGGGATATTTTAAAAAAAGGTCTATCTGTCTTTGAAAAATGAATACTGCAAATCCCTAGTGAGTACAACCACACTTTGCTAGAGAAGCATTCCCACTCCAAAGCCATACGGAGTGTGTCACCGTACCACTATTTTGAAGCAAGGCGAGAACATACGCCTACCAGCTGAACGGAAAAATTTAATATGTACATATTTGCTTTTCATCTGTAAAACGTACAGATGAGCAATGAACTCCACTACGACACGTGTCTGCTGTGCAAAGACGCAGTGAGCAGACAGTGACGTGGGCACCATTTCAGGTGTTCCAGACAGGCCTGTTCAAACATCACTGACTGTACCTCCGCTAAATGTACAACCTCTGGTAAAGTCCTCAGCAGTGTGCGGGTACATGTTACCTGAACTTGATGTTGAGAAGTGGTGCGTCAGAAAAGACAGTCAGACACTCAATGTTGATAACCTGCTGCACTTGAGCACCTCCCTCCACCAGGGGGTCCACAGGCTTCAACTGAACATTCAGCTGTGGGGTCAGTTAAGGAGGGTAACCAGGGAAAGAAACAAACAAACATACAAACATACATACAAACAAACATACAAACATACCCCAGGCACTAGAGCTCGGCCGATAACATCATTTGGCTGATAATGTTTTCTGACGGAGATTCTGATATAGACAAAAGTCCTGCTGATAATGCAACAATAACTAGCAGAGATCCAACATCCTCAGAAGATGCTGGATCAGGTATCAGAGGAAAAAAAAGTTAAGTATCTGACACCTAACAATACAAACCATTTACACCTGAGGATGTGTCAGCTTTATAAGTTTACAGTCACCGTCTGCTTGCTTCTATTAAAGCAATACAGACAGAACTGGTGCATATGAACTCAAAAATAATGGACAAAAATATATATATATCTATATATATATATATATATTTGTAAAATGCATCCTCACAGTAAAAGTGTGGATAACATTATAATCCACATAAACTTTCTATCAAGAAAACTAATGAAACATATAAATAAGCCAATTATCAAAAAACAGTAAAACAGCTGAGAATTCTGGAAAGTTTTGCCCCGACCTCTTGTGTTACACTATTTATAATTTTTTGACTGTTTTAATAATATGTTTAAAAAAATGGAAAAAAAAATTCTCTGTAGTTTTTTGACAAATTACATACAAACCTGAAAATATCTGAATATAAATATGAATATGAAAAAATTTAACAAGACTAATTAAAGAATTCATTCATATATTGTATATCATCCATATATCATTTTATTTAGAAGTATTTGTATGTATGTAGTTTATCGCACTACATAAGAACATCTCCTCCATTTCCATGAAGAAATGAAAAAGCAAAACACATAACGCAGTGGGCTCCATTATCTCTCACCAGTTCCCTCACAAGTTTCGTGCTGCTCTGGTGACGTCACCACTCAGCCTCATTAGGACTGCTCCATTTGTGTGACCAATAGGCTACTAAGGAGGAGTCTTCATAGGACAGTCCTACTGAGGACTTGCACTACCTCAGCTGCAGCCTAGACTTTGAAACGCAGCTAAAATACATCAGTGGAGTGTTCACGTTAGAGAGAGTGTGAGTGGAAGAAAGAGAAGCAATATGAGGAGGGAGACAGAGACAGAGGGTGGGCTAAGATTACTAAGTGTGAGTCTGTACAGCAGTAAAGGATATGAGACTGAAGTTCTCCTGGGCAGCTGACTGTAGTGGTGAAGCTGACAAATTGCACTGATGTCTTATTGCCATAGAACAGATACATCCGTCCTGTGAGGCAGACACACACAGTTTATATCTACATTGATGACAGCATTAAGAAAACAAATGGTAAACTACAATGCTCACAAAGCCAACAGCACATGAAAAAGTTAAGACTATTAATTTGCATGCTCCACTTGTCTGTAATACCAAGAATATAGAATCATGAAATAATGATTAATAAAGAATACATTCTAAAAGATTCAGTAACTTACCAAGGTTCTGACGATACTCGGACTTGACGCCAATCTGAAGGAGCTGATTCTCAAACAAGACTCCATTATTCTTACACACAAACCTGCAGGATGAATAAAGAAACACCAGTGAGATCGAGGTAGCAGAGGGGCAAAATGAAGATATTTATATTGTCTTATTGGCCAAACGTAGGCATTGAAGAAAAGTTGGAGACCTGGGAGAAGGGAAGGTGAACGTGAGAGAATGAATGAGCAAGTCATAATGTTCTTGGTCAACTAAATATATAGCTGAATTATTTCAATTACAGTTAACATTGTATTACCCCCATAAATAACACACACACACACACATTGCTGTTGTCGGAAGAAAACCTTGTATCTCCATTTTTGTTTTTCAGTTTTTGACATAATTTGAAAATACCAGTTACCCTTTACATTGTGTGTAAATTTCATAGTGAATGGACTAAAAGAAACAGCCCAAAATGACTTGGAAAAAAAATCTGGTTCCATTGACTTACATTAAAAGTACAGTATGTTTTTTTCCTTTTTTCCTGTAAAGTTACCATTTTGGAGATATGAGGTTTTGTTCCGACAACAGCGATTCCAAAAGGACGTAATGAAAATTCTGCAAATATAAGAATTTAAATTATATTTGTGTGAGGTGATGTCATGCTACATTGTGTCCGCGCTAATAAGTGTAATTAAAACATTTACAAATATACACAGAGAAGCAACTTAGAGCCCAATGTTAGCTTTAAGTTATAAAGCCCAAAGTCAAAGCCCAATTAGTTAAAGTTAAATAGTTAAGTAAACAGTCCAAGCTAGTTTAAGGTACACAGTCAAATGCTACAGTCTTAACTAGTTTTAGCTATATAATTTAATGTTGTAGTCCAAATTAGTTTTAGGTTATAGTCCAATTGCATAGTCCAAATTAGCTTGAACTTATATAATTCAATGTTATAGTCCAAACAAGTTTTACAATATATAGTCCAATGTCACATTCTAAACCATGTGTGTCAAGATCCAGTCCTCATGGGCCAAAACACTGCAGGCTTCAGCATGCTGCCTCATTAAACACACCCAATTCAGCTCATCAGCTAATTAGCAAGACCACTGTGAACTGAATTCAGAGAGCTAGATGAGGATAAGCGCTAATATCCGAAGCACTTTGGCCCAGAAAGTCATCAGTTTGACATGCCTGTTCTAAACTATTTGAGTTACACAATGTTACAGTACAAACTAGTTTTACATTGTAATCAAAGTCTTGTAGTCCAATCCAGTTTTACACTATGTAGTTCAAAGTAGTTTTAAGTTATATAGTCCAGTGTTCTTGTCCAAACTAGTTTTAAGTAGTTTAAAGTTTAAGTACTAGTACCCTAATCGGGGTGTTAACAACTGAAACACTGAAAATACTCATTCACATGAACCATTCTGATCCACGAGTACATATCTGAAGAAAAGAGAGAGAGACAGGGTGGGGCTCTTACTTGTTAAGCAGTTCGTCTGACTCAGGCAGAGGAGGAGCAGGATCTTCAGACACCACAGAAGGAGGAGCAGAGCTGAGAGTGCAGGTATGTGGAGAAACACAGGAATACCCGCAGAGAGGAAGAGAGATGGGCGAACCGTTCAGAGACAAGGCGAGGTTACAGAACCAAAAGAAGGAAGAGAGTAAAAGAGAGAGACAAGCAGCAGCCAACGAACAGCCAAAGCAGTGATGCAAGAGACAGTGGAGGGAGGGAGAAACACAACAACAGAAAGCAGAGAGGTTAGTGCCAGAATTTAAAACCCCAGCCCAGTTTACACAGACCTTTAACACAACACTACACAGCACAGCACAAGGATACACATCATTTCAGATAAACAGTCCAGCACAAATACGACAGAAAAACAAAGAGTTACGTCCAAAGTAACATTAAAGGGCCCATATCCTATGTTTTTCTTACATTTTTCCCCAGAGAACTGCTAATGGTGATTGTGTTGGTGACTGTGCCAAAAAAGTTTTCATTTATTTTTACATGACCAGCCTCTCTAATCGCCTTGATTTAAACTGGCTGCTTGTTACTGTGCTTTCAAGACTGAGATATGTAAATGAGCTCTGTTCTGACTGACTGCCCTAAATTCTCTCCCATTAGAAAAGCAGTCCTGGCTGAAACACTCCTTATAACTTTGGCAAAAAATGGGTGGGGCTAAACTGCTGTTGGTTGTAAAGGCAGATAAATAAATGTGTTGAGATTTTTATGACATAAAAACAATGAGTTCAAACTCACTTTCTATAAAGGAAGCATAAGGACTGCAGAGTAAATGGTACATTGAAATTTTCAGCGTTCACATACATCAAAGGTAAATTTGGTTTCCATGATATGAGCCCTTTAATTACATCTTTATATACAACTTCTGTCAAAATGTGAGAGTTTTTACATGATCGTCACATAAATGTTTTGTTTTTGTATATTGACACAGTAGCCAACCACTGGCCTCTTACTCAGAGTCACCAGGACCCTCAGCCAATAAGGAGTCAGAGCTCTCAGTGGGAGGTTCCAGATCTCTGCCATCGTCCAATGACAAGCGAGGACGAAAGACACGCATACACATTCACGCAAAACACACAAAAATATACGCGCACGCACACAAACACACAAAGAGGGGACATGGAAAAGGGAGGGAGAGAAAGAGAGAGAAAAAAGAGAGAAAGCAAGAAAAAAGAAAGACAGTCACATACACAGTAAGATAAAGGAGACAAGATTGCACAAACACCAAGAGGAAAACAAAAAGAACACGTGATAGAAAAGTGAAACGACAAGAGCAGAAAGCCTGACAAGACAGCTACAACCTCTGAGCAGCAGAGCTTTTCAGAATTAGCTTTTAACAACATTCTGCCTTAATTAGTCCAGGAAGCTGAGAGATGTTAATTGAGTTCATTAACGACCTCCTCGTTTACCTCAGGAAGCCGTCGTCATTTACACCAGCAGCAGGAGCAGCTGGGCCCGCCTCTGAGAAGACGTCAACCAATAGGCTGCCTGCACTGGGTGGCGCAGCACTGACAGGAGCAGCTGAGCGAAGACCGAGGAGGTCAGCTGACGGAGAAGGAGTGGACTGAGAGATGGAAGTTGAGAGATGCAGAGAGATTTGATGACCGATCCCTCCACCCTTTTCCTCTTCTCCCTTCTTTCCTTTTTTTTTTTTTTTTTGTGGTGGGGGGGGGGGGGGGGGGGGGGGGGGGGGGGGGGGGGGGTGGGGGGGGGGGGTGTGTGGTTCTGGGGGGGGGGGGGGGGGGGGGGGGGGGGGGGGGGGTGGGTGGGGGGGGGGGGGTTTTTTTTTTTGGGGGGGGGGGGGGGGGGGGGGGGGGGGATGAGAGAGAGAGAGAGAGAGTGACTGACAGGTCTGGACTGCAGGCAGGCCAGTTTAGAACCCAGACTCTTTTAGTATGGAGCCATGCTGTTGTAATACATGCAGAATGTGGTTTGACATTGTCTTGCTGAAATAATCAAGGCCTTCCCTGAAAAAGATGTCGTCTGGATGGCAGCATATGTCGCCAAAACATGTATATATCTTTCAGCATTAATGGTGCCATGTGCCATGTGCACTAATGCACCACCCCATATCATCATGAATACTGCCTTTTGAAATGTGCACTGGTAACAAGCTGAGTGGTCTTTAGCCCGGAGGACACAGTGTCCATGATTTCCAAAAAAATAAATAAATTTCAAAATGTTGATATGACGGACCACGGGACACTTTTCCACTTCACCTCAGTCCATTTTAAAGGAGCTCAGGCCCAGAGAGGGTGGCAGCATTTCTGGATCTTGTTTATGTACAGTCTCTTCTTTGTGTTCTAGAGTTTTAATTGGCATTTCTGACTGTAGTGACGGACTGTTTTCACAGACAGTGGTTTTCAGAAGAAGCATTTCAGAGCCCATGCAGTGATTTCGACTACAGAATCGTGTCTGTTTTTAATGCAGTGCCGCCTGAGGGCCCAAAGATCATGGCCAGCAAATACTGGTTTTTGGCCTTGTTCCTTGCATACAGAGATTGCTCCAGATTCTCAGAATCTTTTAATAATATTATATACCGTAGATGATGAAAAGCAAAAGTTCTTTGATATTTTATGTTATTCTTGAATTGTTGCACTATTTGATCGTGCAGTCTTTCACAGAGTGGTGAACCTCTCCTCATCTTTACTTCTGAAAGACTCAGTTTCTCTGGGATGCTCACTTTATACCCAATCATGTTATTGACCTGTTGCCAATGAACCACCAGGTGTTTTTTTTTTTAGCATTACACAACTTTACCAGCCTTTTCTTGCCCCTGTCCCAACGTTTTTGGAACATGTTGTTGGTATCAAATTCAAAATGGGCATATATTTTTCAAAAAACAATAAAATTTCTCAGTTTCAACATTTGATATGTTGTCTTTGTACTACTGTCAATGAAATAAAGGGTTTAAATGATTTGCACATCATTGCATTTTGTTTTTAATTTACATTTTGCATGGCCCCTTTAACATAGGATGTTCTACAATATAAGGCAGTTCTGTAAGTCCATTGCCACTGCAATAGGCAGATGAACATGTGTGAATGAGAAAAATAAATGGCAAAGCGTTTCCCTTTTTTGTGCTGACTGGTTTCCCACTAAAGTGCAAGCACAGCAAAATGGTCATGTGATATTGTGCAGGTTCCTGCCAAGCTTTCATTTCTAGATGAGAGTGAGTGAACGTGTATGTGTAGGAATGTGGAGTCTCACAGCGTTGGACGCTCCTATGGCCGAGCTATCTCCGGGTCGTTCTCCTGCTCCGTTCAACTCTCCTCCCTCTCTCTTGCCCTCTTCAAGTTCATTGCCGGACACTGCACCGGGCCCTTTTTTCTTCTTCAGTTTCGCCAGGATGGAGGACTCCCTCTCAGGGAATGGAGGCATCTCCTCCAGCACTGTAGCCTGCAAACAAGCATTCACTGCAGCTGTGAATGTCTGACCTCATAACGATTTAATTATTGCAATCCTTTAGGAAAAGATTCATTGATTCGCTATGTTTCGATTCTTTAGGTAGAATGCTGAACACATAAGTACGACTAGAGGAACTATTTACTGAACCATAGACAAAACCAATGCATCTTTTAACTTAGCATAAAGTTTACTGAACATTTATTCAAGCAGTTATTAAATGATAACGAACTGTAATCTGTAATCTACCTAAGATTTAATCACCAGGTTTCAATTATAAGACATTCTGGATGTTGATTTTTTGTTCAATATCAAATGTTTTATAGCTTTCTCAGTCATTAAAGAATCAAAAGCTCTGTGTATCATTCTAAAATTTCTTCCTTTAACAGCTTCCTACTAATCAGTATAGAGTAGTACCATCATAATAAAAGCATATTATACATGTATCTGCCTTTTTTTATTATTTAAATTTTTATTGACCCCAAACTTTTAAAACACTGAATCTGGGCTAATTATTTCAGAAATATGCATCATAATGGCTCCCAGTCCATAGTGTTTGTGCATTTTCTCACCAGTACGTCCGTGCTGGCGATGGAGGACAGTTTGAGGTACTCCACGGCTCTTTGCTGCAGCTCTACATCGCTGTTTCTGATCTGACTGTCACAGCGCAGCACCTCCTGGATGGTGGGTTTGGTCTCAGGGAACAGATTAATAAACTTTATATAGGCAGACAGGAGCAGAGCACGTGTGGGCACCGAACACAGGTGGAACTTGGAGTGCAGGAGGTTAAACTGAACCAGTGGACTAGAGAGAGAGGGAGAGAAAGAAAAGGGCATCAATGTATTGTTACGCTCACATAGATACAGGTCAAAATATATATAATAAAAAAAATCATCACTGAAAGAACAGCTCACCTAGAGCGAGGGTCACCAGCAATAAGGTTACCGAACTCTCCCAGGATGTAACCACCAACCTTCACCATGTTCTCATGACAAGCTGGAGCCTGCAGGGCCTGGGGTCAGAGATCAGATATCAGTTAAACATTTTAGGAGGTGTCCAGAATGTACAGAGCTGTGGATGATTTCAAAATGACTCTGAAAGCTGTACAGCATCTAGTAGGGCTGAAAGATGAATGGTTTGAATATGGAGATCACGATTTGAAAGAGCTGCAATTTTTATTTTAGAATACACTATCAACAAGCTTTAAATGGCGAAAATTTAATCTAATAACACAATAGACTGTGAACTGCCTGTACGTAAGTTATACCAATCAGAAGCATCAAAACACTCAAGTTCTGAACATGTGACATCACAACCATCACAACTAACTGGTAGTCTGACGCACTCTTCAAGTTTCACACCATAAAAAAGCAGATATTCTGGTCTTCTTGACTAAATATAAGGCCTGGAAAGTTATAGTTATAGTATATAGTTGCTGCTGTTTCTAAAACACTTGAGATATTGAATAAAACATCTAAAAAGACCTTAGGGTGTGTAGTTCATTGTATTTAAAGGGCCAACCTCATGGGGAACCTTTTATTATAAACAGAGTTTGAGTTAGTATGTAAATACTGTTAAATCCACTCCTGACTCCAAACAGCTTGTTTTGAATTCACTGTTTTTTGTGATGTTACAAAAAAACATCATATTTATGTATCTGCCTATTCAGCCTTCAGCAGTTTGGCCCAGCCAATTCACATTGGACAGTGTTTCAGAGAAGACTGCCTTTTAAATGAGGCACAATCTAGAGCGGCTAACCAAAACAGAAGTCATTTGCACCTACTCGTCTTAAAAGCAATCAAAAGAACACCTAAATAAAACATGAGAAATTAGTTGGATATACGCCCTTTAAATATACAATATCCAAATATATAATCAGCTACTATTGTAGACTAAATAAATTATGAACATTCCTTTTTAAAATCTTTTGAACGGTTGAGAATAATAACCAAGTCTGAAGAAGAATGACTTCCTCTAAAACTTAATAAGAGCATCCCCATAGAGCAGCAGAGTGGCACGTGTTTGTACCTCAAAGACAGTCTTGGCGGCGTATCCCTGCACATCGTCCCGGTTGATGACAATTTGGATGACACGGTACCAAACTTCCTCACTCACATAGTCTCCAGCAATGCGGATCAGGTTCAGGATGGTGTCCACGTACCAAGAGTAATCCACTGCATACTTCTCTGCCAGGATGGCCACCTTCAACACCTGCAGCAGAGAAGAGAGCCATGTGCACATCTGAACAGGCTTAAAGAGTGAGACTACAGGGCACGAGGCAGGGGCACACGCACCATCTCTTCTCTGATGGAGTAGTCAGCTGTCTCCAGGTAACTCAGCATCTCTGCAACAATCTGCTTGGCGTTGCTGCGGTCGCACATGGCATAAAGCAGGTCGGCTGCTCTCTGGCGGACGCTGACGTCCCTTTCAGTCTGAGGAGCACAAAGAAAAGAGGAAGGATAGGAAAATTAGGGAGCAAGAAACAGCAAAATAAAGTGATTAAAAGATGTGCTGAAATTGTCACATGCATGCATGGACACTACAGAATACATCTACGATTTCTGTTTTCCTTTTTTTGATTCTTCAAAAATAACTGTTCGGCTTAAATTTCTGAACTGAAAATGTATGTTTAAAACACCAAAAAACCCAGCAAATCTAATCTAGCATCTATAATCCAGCATGATGTGTGTAGGGCAGCCAAATTCTGCGGGGGAGGCAGAATCTAAAATGGTTGACTGCAGTGTTTGGCTACATGAAGTTTGTGTTTTTTATAGTTCAATAGTATAATAAAAGGCTAGATGTGGTGTGAGCGGAGATGTATTTAAAGAAAGGAGTTGAGTCATTACTGACTTTGGTGTTTGTTAGCAACATTGGCCTCATAGCGCTGGTGCTAAACTAAAGCAGCAAAATTTGGACACAATACATGTCTTGGCTGATAAACATAATATCGGAAAAGAGGAAAATTGTGCAAACTAGATTTTCCCTGAATCATGCTTTTATGAAGTCTGCCGACTCAAGGGAATAAGAGGAGTAGGTATTTGTTCATGTTTGTTGTGCAATCAACCAGTCTACAAATCAATACATCTATCTCTGCAGAGAAACTGCAGCTTTTATTGTATTCTCTGGAGCTATTATAAATGCTTTCCACTCAGGGGAAGACGTACATAAGACAGAAGGCCAAGTCTTTTTCTTTCCGTTTCTTTTGATGCACATTAAACAAGCCCTCACAAGATGGTCTGAAAGATATTTGCAACATGGTACAGAATTTAACATGTATGATAGAGAGCTTCTTAAAACATTAGAGACCACAATACACTTAAACACATGTGGCTGGTTTAGTGTAGTAGGTGACACCTCTGCCATCTATGCTGCAGACTGGAGTTTGATCCTCCTACTGGTATACTATACCAGTAAGACTCCTAACACTACCTTCACTTGCCTCTGTAAAGTGATCAAATTGTAAGTCACTCTGGATAAAAGCATCTGCCTAACGCTGTAAATATAAATGTAAAAATAATCTTTCCATTTTGTATGTGTGAGCACCTCCTACAGAAAGCCTATACATCTGTGAATCCTCACCTTAAGGGCGTTGATAACCGTCTCAATGTGTGTTTTGACGGCCTCATGGGAGAACTCTGAGCTGGCGAGGGTACACATACTCTCCAGGGCCAGGTAGCGCAAGTTGGTCTCTCTGTGCTGCAGGAACTGACCAAGCTGGTTGCACGCCCGCACCAAGAGATTGGGTTCACTGTAGTTTACAAATACATATCACAGATATACATATGCAGACACACATTATAACATCACTGAATGTTGCACTTCTGAAAAACAACCAGTCCTGTTGTAAACATCAGGGGTAGAGAGACATGAAAATTTGCACTGCCCACTAAAAAAATCTTGTGGCCAAAATCTAGAACTTGTGGAAAGAATAACAGATACATGTTTACTGTATACACATTGAGCCTCATTCACCAGTATCTTCCTAAGCTTTTTCCTGAATATATACTTGAGAAAGGTCCTAAGAAAAAGTGTACATCAGATTCATTATGCGTTCTTGAACCACAGAATTGTTCGCACCTTTGTGCTTTTGAGTGTGTGCAGATTCTGTTCTTATCATCTTCATGAAAACTGCATAGTGAGTTTTAAGAAGATTTTTTTTTTTTTTCTTAAGAACGGTTGGTGAATGATGCTCAATGTATTTACAACTAACAATCATGCTTCAGTACCAAAATAGTCATGTGACGCTTTTAGTAAGGCAATATTCATTAAAACTTTACAATAATAAGAACATTGTCATTGTGGTGACCGTGGTGGTCCACCCCTGCTGAGCTGGACCACCCTGATGTTTTGTGATCTAAATGTCATTAGGTACTGTTTAGCTACTGCAATGATACAGCCTCTTGGTGCAATGTCAGCTTATTTAACACCCTATTTTATAGAGTGACATTAGCAAACTTTAGGTAAAGGAACAGCATTTATGTCAGCCAGACCAGCTCAACAAGGGGGGGGCCACCACAGTCACTACACCATCACATTAGCTACTGTAATGGTTATAGCTAATGAAGTAAGACAAAATTGGATTTGATGCAATTCAGTCAAACCAAACAGGCTTGTTAAAAGACAAAAAAATGTACAGAAATCTCAAGTGTCCAGCTCTGCATTTGTAGTGGTCAAAATATAAATTAATAATTGGCCAGGGGCAAAAAAATCTAGGTAAAAGGAAAGTGTAAACACAAAATGTGTACCTGTCATAATGAATAATGAGGGCGATGGCTTCAAACAGTATGGCGTTCTTGGCGTTTGAGTGCTGGACCTTCTTGGACTTGGGTGGCTCTTGGGCTTTGTTAAGAATGGTCTCGAGACATTCCACTAGCCGGCCCTTGACGGCGCCATCCTCAGGCGGAGGGTAGCACTGCAGGAGACGGAGCAGCTTGCAGGAGAGCCAAGGAGCAGGGACAAAGTAATAGGTGTAGTCCTGCAGGTCAGTGGATGCTGACGACACAATCTGAACAAGAGACAAGCACACCTTTGTTTAATATGAAACGACATATTGGTGATCCATCCAACAGTAAATCGGTCTTAGCAGAACGAAAGACACACCCTGCTGAGGCGAGACACTGCGAGTGAAACGCAGGTTTTAAACTCCTCTGGGTTTTTCTGGCTGAGGCAGGTGATGAGGGAAATGGCAGCAGTGACGACTCCCTGAAACAGACCAAGAGGACAATCAGTAAGGAAACAAAGTGGTAAAGACCAAGTTAAAAGAAAAAAGTAGTAGGTGGACACTTTAGGACACCCAATACAAAGGTGACAACTGTCCAAATGCAATGTCCTTGACCTCTTCTTCTGGTGACTTTTGGCTGACTTTTAACTGAGAAATCCTGCTTTATGAAATACCTTCCTAAAATAACAGATAATGTAAGAAGTAATAGTGCTGGGTTTTGGCTCAGACCCACCATGTGCTGATCGTTGAGCAGGTGCACCACTCTGGAGGTCCACTCTCCCATCAGAACTAGGTCTGGAGAGGTCCTGTAGAGCCGCAGCAGGCACAGAGCAGCAGACTGTTTCACACTGTCCATCGTGTCCCTGCCAAATCCACCACAACAAAAACAGATCCATAACAGTTACCACACAGAAGCAACTCTTTTGTGTCAAAGAAGTTTCCATGGAGCTTTCATCATTTATCTTTCTCTCTCTTTTTTAAGACGGGGACCTGCTCTTTCTAGCCCATCAATCTGACTCTCAACTACTCTTAACAAATGTTCATCTCATGAATCAGTCCCGCTCTGCACATTTTTTTTGTTTTCAACTCATTAACCATTCAATAAGCTTCTGTGTGCTGCTTCGGGTTTGTCAGAGCATGGAAAACACAAAATAAGCAGAGCAGGATCTTCAGAACCAGGACTGGAACCATTATAATAAATGTTGTCAATGCTGTCAAATGTTTTTTTGTCATCATATCATTCTCACCATAGCAATTTCTTTTTCCCTTTACACCACACACACATCAAAGAGCTTTAATCTCTTTTCTCATTTCACCCGGTCCAGCCCATCTCTTCATTTTTTGCATACTGATTCAAACTACAAAACTGTTATTATGCTCCTTTTCTACCCAGTCAATCTAACTCTCTACAATCTCTTCATCCTCCACAAGATCCTACTACCCACCCTTCATTTCCCATTCATCCTTCCCTCTGCTACATAATTGCCTGTTCTCACCCTGCCACCAGGATGCGAGGGATCTCTCCGGCGAAAGGCCTCAGCCATCTCCCTGCTACCCACGTTGGCAATGCAGTGCAAGGCCAGACACATGAAGGTGGGGTTCCTGCTAGACAGGTCGTTCTTTATAGCGTTATTGATCAGCCTGATCAGCTCACTGTTGCTGTTCACCAGCACAGAGATGAACAAATAACCCTAAGAGAGAGAGAGACAGGAGGGAAAGCAAACAAAAAAATTAGAACAACCTGACACACAGGTAAGGGAGCATTATTAGTATTAGCCAAGATCACAATCTGACTATATTCACTCCTAACACATGATCAGCACTTGGCCAGTTTACTTTTATTCTTGCAGATCTGTGTTTCGATTTTACATTGAAATTAACGTGAGCAGGCCAAGCGCATATATTGTCACTGCCAGACAAAAACGTCCTTCTTTTCAATGCACGTTAATGTAAAAAGTTTATATTCCAAACAATTTTTGTCTCTTTCTACTGATCTATTCACCATAAAACACACAATGTTAAGGGCAAACAGTCTTTTCAATTTATGTCAAAAAATGAAAAACAACACAAAACAGAGAAGCAAAGTTTTGTTTACACAGCAACAATACGCTACTTTTGAAAGCTGCAACTGCCATTTGCTAACCTATGCATTTCCTATCAATGTGTTCATTAAGCTCAAAGTCTGAGCTCAGGTAAACTGCAAATAAACAGTGATCCAGCTTCTTCTATCTGTTACAACTTAATAATAGAATAAAACACAGAACTATGAAAAAAATTCAGTACTGGCATACTCGGAATAGGTCTTAAATCATTACTGGTGTAGCCGTACGCAAAGTATCATGATCATGGTCTCACAGTTGTCCCTTGAAAATTACTACATGTCCTTAACACCCTTTCCCCTCCCTGGGAAGTGTGTATCATGTGAGCTCGGAGAGGCCGCTTTGATGGCTCAGCTTTGAGAGGCCTGTATAATAGCTGAGCTTTGAGCTGAAGTAAAGAGAATAACTGCAGCACTGCAGAAATGTCATCTTCCGACAGACTAACAGAGACAGCAGGCCCAACTGCTCAGACGACACTGAGTACCGAACCACAGGAGAGTGCTTTTCTCTCTCACTGAGCAAATGTGTCTTGCACACTGCCGAAGGCTCTGCTGCTCTTTGCGTAGCCCTCTCTGCACAGCTTTCTTTCAAAGTCTCTCTCAGTCATGCTTTGTTCATCCTTTTTCCATCCCCCCCCTACCAAATCCTTGTGTTTTGTACACACTTTCTCTCTTTCCTATTGGTGCCTGGATTTTGTGGTTGTTTTACCACCAACACTGACTCACATGGACGTGATGATTAATCTTTTGCACAATTAACCACTTTCAATGCACAAATACAATTAAGAGTATTCAATATATTAAATTTTGCTTGATAACAGGGGGCAAGGCATATCATATTTGCACTGGAGCCTGATCAGCTAAAGGATTTCAAAGCAATGCTACAAATGTACTGCAGGCTAATGACCCCTATGCCTGACTACCTGCTTGTTCTTGTTGAGAAAGACCAGCAAGTCAACACTGCCAAGCATCAAATGCCTGTGAAACAAATTCACAGTGATGCCCGATTCCACTGCTCGCACAGGTCCCAATTAGCAGGCGTGGGAATGCAGACATTTGCTTGCTATGGAGCTGCTGTAGACCACACAGTCTGAGCCCAAGCAGCTTAATGGTAACACTGGCTAATGTGTATTTGCTGTGCTGTAGGCTGTCTATATTCAGATGCATCGCAAAGATGTGTTAAATGGAAAAAAGACGCACACTATTTGTCAAATATTCAGTGCATAATCAAAGACTCAGGCATATTTACACAGATATAAGCTCATGAATTAACCTCAAAAAGCAATGCTGGTTTGTCTGCAAAGATTCAGGATAGATAATCGGTTTTGAGAAACAGCTTTTCAAATTCAGAGCCTATGCAAGAGCTTCTGAATATTTCTAATAAACACGCATGCAGCTGAATAAGTAGGAACTCCCACTGTTTCGCTGATTCAACAAGTGAATCATTACAGAGCGAGCGGAGACTTCTTGGCTACTGACCCTTCCACTGTAAGGTTTTATGTTAATTGTGCATTTCTTCTTCTAGATGTATCTGGACATTGGCCAAACCAATAAGCTTAGCATTACAGTGTGAAATGTCAACATGAATGTCTTTCCACTGCTCAGTACATTTACTCCGAAACACAGTCTCTAAGACGACGTCCATGCCCAAAGGCCCGAAACACAGGGTACTTCCAAAAATCCATCAGGGAGTGGACACTCTAAGGAAACGCTCAGAGAGGCCTGAATGCTTCCACGTTCCATAAGACCGAGTAGAAAAAGTAACAATGCAAAAATCAATGAAAATGAGAGCCATTCATCGACTGGATGAATCAGTGAAGTCTTACTACCTCAGCTGCACTGACTCTGCATGAACCTGAGCTGCTTAATTAAAATGCTTAACATAATTGTCTGTAAATGTTCTCACCCCACAAGAAGGCTAAAGCCTTGGGTATTTCACACTATTATGTAACACTGTTTGACTGATTGTTAAAGCAGCCAATTTAATTATGGTTCACATAGTCAAACCAAATTATGCCAATGTTGAATCGAGCTTGGCTAGTAAAATAATGAATACAAGGAGAAAACAATCTCTTGGGAACACAGGCAACACCTGAAAGCTAATTTCATTTTAGTAATGAAAACTTCATTCCACGATTATATGTTCAACTGACATAGAACTATGCAGGAACAGCCTCTAATTTAGATGGTAGGGATGCACTGATATGGGAATTGGGCCAAAGACAATAGCCAATATTTTTCATGTACATATCTGTTAATGCTGGTACAAAAACAAACTAACTGTAGAAACTAGGACTAAATCTGCCTGGATTAGTTTTGCAGAGAGATATAACTAGTAGCAGGCAGTACACTGGTTCATCTGGGATACCAGTACGTAAAAATGTACCATACATAAAATGTATGTATATGTATTCTTCACAGATTATCCCTTGTTAAATATAAATATATTTGTACATACCAGAGAGTTTTTTCTTACATAGGTCCCTCCTGATTGTGCATAGTTTGTGTATATTTAATATATTTCAGTTTTAGTATTTTCTTTTGTATTTTCTTCTGTATTTTTACTTATTTACTTTCTGTAGAGTGATTAGCTGAGCCTCATCACAAGCATTTCTATGCATGAATGTCCTGACATGTTGTGCAAATGACAAAAACTTGAAACTTTCTCTCTCAGGTATTAGTTTGCCACGAATAAGTGTAGATATGCAACATACAAAGAATGTAAACCATGTCAAATATTATCCTGAGTTCTAAAGTTGGCTTCTTATTCTAATTTCCTGTTCCACCTTAAATGGAGCAGCAGTTACATTCAGGTACATGTACACATGCCAAAACGTCACTGCTGCTCCATTTAAGGTGGAACGGAAAAGTAAAAGAAGCCAATTTCATGATGAATGAACCAAAGAAATCGACTTGGTTTCTCCTTTCTTCTGTAAAGTTATCATTTTGGAAATACGAGGTTTTATTCTGACAGCAGTGATATATGTACACACAACACACCATTATATAAACCAAAAACAGGCAGAAATTTTAATTAGACTGTCATATAAATTTCTTGCCATACCACCCACTACTAGGTATAATTCTCTAGGATTACAAATCCAAAAAATGAATGAAACACAGATATTTTAGTTCAGTAGCTCAGTGGTAAACATTCTCCTCTTTTGGAGCACAATAAAAACATTGTCAAATATTAGTTTGATTTATCAGTCAAATCTAAACACCTATTTGATGATGAACCTTTTAAAAGCAATTATCTGTCAATACCAATATGACTCAGAGATCATCATGCATCACTAATTTAAGATGACCATAGAATTAATGAAGAAAAGCTTGAAATGTTGACCCTCTGTTCTTCTGGTTTTCAAAGATGTGACACTATTTACATAATTCTAAACCAAGGAGTTAATATTTGGCATCTAATATAGATTTACAATACTGCATACAGATGACTAGTGTACAATCTCAGTAATCTTTGGATAAATAATGGAATATAAACATTCCTACACACTCATTTAAGATGATAAAACATTCACATCACTTCTCCGATCAAGACAATTTACTACTTGCTGCCCTTATGAGTGAATCTTTGCTGCAGTGCCTCAGGCTAAGTCAAAAGACAAACAAAAGATAAACAAACAGAACGAAACGTTTCGGTCTGTATATGATTAGCGGAGCTGAGCACCAAGCAAACACTCGTCAAGTTCACCTAAGTCTGCCTCACCAGCTGTCCCGAGATCAAACGCTAATCTGAATTAGCTTTCTCTCCCACATGGCAAAACCTTCACTGAGATCTCCTGGTCTACAAGATGAAAGAGTTTTGTCACCTCCAAATATATATATATATATATATATATATATATATATATATATATATATATATATATATATATATATATATATATTTTAATCACATTTTGAAAACATAACCTTCATTGCTAACATCTGGCATTTCAGGTAACTCAATGGAGCAAAGCAGAACTGCATGGCTGGCTGACGTACAGCAGCAGTGGTGGAGGAAAATTAGTAGCCTCCGGCCTCAATTCATGTCATTTATGACTTGGGACAACAAAGTTCAATATCCAGTAACTGAGCGACCTCGTTTAAATTATAGGCCGGACTTTCAAGCTACAGAAAAATAATAAATAAAAAATGAGCAGTCAGGAAATAGTCAAGCTGTGCAGAGCAGAAGAGAGTGTATATTTACTCTATAACAGAATAACAGAACAATGGTGCACACTCAAGTGAAGTCAATGAAAAGCTAACAGAGCTGGGGTAGGCTCGGAGGAAACGGGGGTACTGAAACAATGACTTCACAGGAAGCGCTCCTCCAAACATGATAGCGTCATCACATTCTTCAGGAACATACTGTGACGAAAACAGAGCCGTTCAAAATGACACGACCACATCTCATCTTTGGAGGAAATGTACGCCTGGGTACAAAGTTCAACCATAACATGCAATCTCCAAAGCTCTGAAATGACATCTCACTCAGCGAATCGCTCTTTGTAACTACACACGGTTCCCTGGGTTTCTGCTCCCTCTCTGAATGTGCGAGCCAGAAGAGAGCAAGAGGCTGATGGGAGTCTGGCTGGTACAGTGGGTGGGAAATCAGCAGGAGATAATTAGGGCTCATGGTGAGTATACATGGCTTGGAGTGTCACTGAAGCAGTTTGTGTGGAAGCATTAAAATACAGTCGCTGCTCATTCGCTTCAGTTTTGTCTATGTTCTGTATCAAAACATACACAAACATTCCTACAACATAGATGAATGAACGTAGACGGATGAATAAGCAAGAACAAGAACAGTTTCACTTTCAAAAACCAAAAGATCATCCCACTTACAATCTGTTTCTCGGTGTACTTGTTCGAGCTGAGCAGGTTGACTGCCTCCATGTGGCCAAAGTCGATGTCATGGCCCAGGAGGAAGATGAAGAGCAGTTTGCACACATACTTCTTCTTGCTGTAGCCATCCAGAGCCTTGTCCCCCTTAAACTTTGAGCGGATGTTGGCCAGCTCTTTGTTGATGCGCTTGATCTCAGCCTCCTTGCTTTTGCCTGTAGAGAGGATAAAGAAGAACTGAGACTTTATATTATCTCTGACAAACCAAACTGCGACACAGTGGGAAAAGATTTTTAATGCAAGAACTGAATTATTCTCCACAGTAATTTTAAATGGGAGTAAGTTAGCAAGAAGATAACTGAATTAATAAGTAAATAATAAACAATGTCTCATGTATGTAAAAACTAAGGGCTGGCTAAGTCTTTAAATGTGAATCAAATAACAACATAATTAGGGAAGCTCCAAATACGCGACTGACAATCAATTTATTATTTTTATTTTGGATCTATGCTGCAATTTTACAATGTTAGTAACATAGGTACACACACTGTATTTGAATGATGTTGCTATGAAAATGTTGTGGCATATTTACACATGACTCATTGTGCTTAACAGCCAATGGATTTTTGATTTGCAAAATGCCAGTTTGGCACACTAAAAAGCAAATAATGTTATTTATAGTGCAACTTTGGCTAATAGAAAGGACTAATATTAGTGTTTCATGTGTTCACTTAAACTTACACTGTTGTCTTGAGTAAAAAAAAGGCTAATAATCAGCAAAAATGATCAGCCAGGGGTCAGTTTGGCTGTAAAGAAATCTGACTTGGAACTGGCCATAAAAATTAATCTGTGCTCTTCTAAATGCAAAATGAAAAGCTTGTGAAAATAACTGGGAAATATGACATTACACAACAGGCTTGAAAATATCATTATAAAAAATACAATCCAGTAGAAAGACTGCACCATATTCCCAGCTCCAGAGAGCAAAGCTATTAGCTTATGTCAACAGTATCTAATATCAACAGTGATTTGCAAGAATTATACACCTAAGAGGGCACAACATCAATATGGAGAATTCTGTAAACATCAATGACGAAGGCTTTAGCTTAATTACGAACTCTTTAGGGTAAAACAGAGATAAGCTGTCTGCACATGTAACTGCATTTCATGAAGCACACTATAATAATAATCACGTCAAATGACCAGAGCTGGGTTTCCCAAAAGCATCTTAGCATAAACATGATTCTTAAATGGTAGAGCGAGCATCACAGTGAACACTCTCTCTCTACCAGTTAAGATGGGTAACACTAAAATGCTTTGGGGAAACTGGGCTCTGGTTGTTTGAAAGCACAACTACAAATGAACAGGAATAGCTATTAAACCAACGACACACAACAGAGGAGACCACAACTGCGCCTACTTGTCTTTCTTTAGGATGAAGGCAGCAAATAGCAGTGCAAATGTTGTGGAGGTCTGGGGGTAAAGTCCAGGGAGAGATGACCCCATAAAGTGTGCAGTGTTTTAGGTATACTTTACACGCTGCATGACAAATAATACGGTTTTAACCATTTAAAACGTTTACCACTGTTTATGAACACACTGAAATGAAGGACACATATTCATATTTGTCAACAACCATGTCAACTACTCTGTGTAGACAAACATAGACCCCCACATTGAGTCAAATCACCTGTTGACCTGTTGAGATTATGTCTAGCATTTCTTGTCTTCAGCTGCCGGAAAGAAAACACTAAACATGCTGGCGGCACCACAGAATGCTAGGCTTTTTCCTTCCAATTGCAATTCCACTAAAATATAGGAATGAACACCAGACTGGAAGCCAAAACCACACCCAAGATTGTTTTTGGGTCAATATATCAAAGTAATGGCACTTCTGCAGGAGTCTCCGTATACCTGTCAAGCCTAATGTATATTTGGTAGTCAAAACACACTATGACTCATTCTCTCACAAGCCAGCTGAAGGGTGTTTTTGGCTGAAAAGGTTTAATGCTGGAGTCTTGTTTCCAGGACCATTGCTCAGTGGGTAAACCGACAGCAGATGACAGATGCACCGACCGAGCACCACACTCATCTGTGTGCCAGAAACAGATTCTGTAAGGCGCTCACACGCCACAAATGGCTGGCGTGCGTTTACTGAGATTTACTGAATCTTACTGAGATAAAATTCTACGCTGCATTTACTGGAGGTATCTCACGTTGGTATTCCCAACCTACGTCACCAGTAAGAGCCCAGATAAACGTCTTAAATCAGTTCAAACCTGCCCAAACTTTTTTTGGTTGCTGGTAAAGACTGACAACATGAGAGAATCAAGCTAGGTGCAAAACTGAAAAGGCTGACGTGGTTTGCATCAGAGTTATGATTCATCTGTTTTCATCTACTGTAAGTTAAGATGAAGTCTAATTTTTACAAATAGACTGTGTAAAAAGATTTACAGTACACTGTGAGCAAAAGGCTCAAAGATAAATCATCAGTGCACGCTCCCCGCTCTGTCCTGTGGTCGAGCTACTGCTGTGGACTGCTCAAAGCCACATGAATACACAGAGAGCTCTCCGTAAGGAACAGCCACATCCTGCCCTGTATGCTCTCTGCTGTGACACCACACAGCACACCTCACACAGGGCGCATGAGTGCATTTAGAGGACACTAAGGCCAGCCTGACTGTAGGGAGGCACACTGCAATAGATATTAGGGATGCATCGATGCATCAATGATGACATCCGATATTTATATGATGACATCGATATGATGTCCCTACAGCAACTTGATAAACCTGAATTAGTATTATTGAGAAATGCGAAATGCATACGTATAGTGCAATAAAACGACTAAAATACAGCCGTTTTAGCATGTTAGCCCTGTGGTGACTAATTGTTCTTCTCTTCCAGGATATTATAAATGCATCATCAAATGTCAGGTTGAATTATCAGTCAAATCTAAGTATCAGCCTAATGCTGATTTTTTTTCAATTATCGCCTGGTGCCAATATGACAACATTACCAATATGATCTTGATCACCGAAGTCATCGCACATTTCTAGTATATAATAAGTATTCTGACAAATACCAATATCGTGTACCAGAACAGCCACCAAAAAAAAAAAATACACTTTTGAATGCTTTTAAAACCAGATTTAGAAAAATACCAAATATACAGATCATGGGCAGAAGCTAAACATTACTGTGTGCCTAATCAATGTATGTAACCAGCCATAGAAAGAAAGAGAGAGAGAGAGAGAGAGAGAGAGAGAGATAGATAGATAGATAGATAGATAGATAGATAGATAGATAGTGTCCATACAAAAATCAGTTTGAATGACTAATCAAATTCTAGTTAGCATGATGCAGATCTATTTAGTGAACTATCTGCCAATCCTGAGACAGTTTAGATCATCTTGCATCCATAGTAAATAACATAACTATTCTGAGAAATATGCATAGCTTAAATCACAACAACCAATCCAAGAATATTTTTGGGAAAAAACTGCTAATTGTGCCCTCCACCTTTCAGAGAAGGATCATCCTCCCCTACCCATGCAATATATGACTTATCGAGTCAAGAAATACAGATGAGAGTCAAATGTGACTCACTACAGTCAACATGCAAGCAAAATATTACATTAGCTGTGATAACTGGCCACCAAATGCCTAACACAACTCCAAAAACACAGGAATGCACCTCATTCGTCAATGCTCAGCCTAGAGGTGGGCAATACAGCAAAACGTCATATCACGATACTTCAAGACGTTTTTTTATGATACACGATACATCACAATAGTTATTTTTTCTGACGTCTGACAAGCTAGAACAGACAAAGGAGGCCCACATTTTAAAAACTATCTAGAACTATTAATTCAATGTTTTGAATTCCACATTTTACACACTAAATCCAGTGATAACGATACACATTGTCATACTGCCCAGCTCCAGCTCAGCCCCATGGGAGGCGCTCGATTAAGGGTTTATCGCACAAACAGTTGAACTGGCTCCTTTTGGCGAAGACAGATATGAACCGCTAGATATGAACCCCACTTGTGAGCTCCGAGCTGCTTGTTTCTGAAACAGGAACCTTTTTTCGCCCGTGGCGGCCTACGCGCCTCTGGAAGCGGCGAAAGATCATTTCATCTTGCAGGGGCCTTTCATATCATATCAAGCACCTCCAAAGCAATGCAACAGGGAACACACGGGGAGCCAACGACCTCTCCTCACCTCCCCATCCAGCTTCAAAGACCTGGGAGAGGCTTTATCCACAACCAGTGCAAACAGATTCTCAGATAAAGACTAAGTAACGTTATAAGAATCGTGGACAGTAGCTAAGGGTTATCGTGCACTGATTTCGTGTATATAGCCAGTTACAGGTCACAAAAATGGATCACGTTAACGTTCAACCGGCGCCTCAATAACAGAAAGGGCACTTACAGTTTCTTATGTCCGAAATGAACACCGCTAATCCTCGCATTCCGTCTCCTTTCGACACAGCCGGCATCTTTGCAGGATTTTTTTCCTCCCTCTTTCTCACTCACACGAAAAACTAAGTATTTCCAGATGGTTTGCGATGGTTTAGCCCACCTCGCTTTAAAAAAAAAATAGAATACGTTTCGCCTGCTTTGCAGCCTAGCAAACACCAAGCTAACGGAGAAGCTAGCTAACGACTCTGGCGCTTCTGATGGATGTTTAGGCTGCTAACCAACTTGCTAGCGAGTTAGTTAGCCACCTAACGTTAAATACAGTGGCTTATTAAGGGCAATAAGGTAAACCTGCTAAAGTCGGAAGCCTCTGGCTGTTTAAGTGTTAAGCGTGTATTAAGGTGAGCTAGCGTTAGCTACGCTCCGACCGTTGGCGTTTAAATTCATTCAAACCCAGCGGTTCACAAATTTGGCCCAAATGACGACGCGAGTCATTTGGTCTGTATCTGCAGTTTTACAGCGGACAGCTTCCTCACAAAGTACTGCTGACGAGCGGATGTCCTACAAAACATATAGCTACGACTGGGAGGGGGAATAAAGAAATTAAAAAATAATAA